AATTCTAACCATGGTACAATAAAAAGGTAAGGTAGAGCCACCAGATGATTACAATTTTTTTCGAAGTGTGCCCAACTTCTGCCGACTTTGTGTATTTAATTATTGTTTTGAAAAATAAAAACAAAATATTTTCTAAATCAATTCAAAATTACAAGGTGAGATGAAAAAACTGTAACCAACTTCAGACTGCTGTCATTTCTAAGGCACTCGTCCGACAGCTGTTAAAATTATTCCAGTGACTAACTCACGTGCCACCCAAGAATGGTTACAAAATGAAGTTCCTCGCTTCATTTCCAGCGCACAATGACCACCAAAATCTCCGTATACCAATTCGTTGGACTATTGTGTCTGGAGTATTTTGGAAAGCAAGGTTGGCAATAAAAAATACCAAAGTGTCGATCACTTCAAGCAAGCGCTTCGCCGCTTCTAAAATTTGATGCTATTTCCGGCCTTTTTTTGCTTTCATTCAATAAAATTTAAAAAAATGTAAACATTATGTCGTTTAACTTTGTTGTAGCTTTTTTATCTCATCCTGTATATGGAAACAATGCCAAACTACTTTTGGCAGTAATTTGACATTTGATAAACTTAGTACTTTTTGCGCTATTGTGATTTGACTCTATTTAAATTTCAAATCACTCACTCACTCTCTTTGAATCATATGTATATTGACAGCGAACTTTGTTGTCAGATGGGCTTACTGGCCGACCTTATATAGGCTTAAATGTCAAATAAATTTAGGTCTGGAAGTAGTAGGTAGAGTTTCATATAGTTCAAAAAATATTCTGCAAAGGAACGATTGAAACTATGCGCAGTTTTTACACTGATCTATTTTCTTTAGTTTATATCGTTCAATTTAACTTCGCTCTTTTTGTTTTGCAAATCGTTTGCTTTTAGAAATTAAATAGAGCACTGCTGTATCTATTTTTAATTCTATTATGAAAATCATAATTTAAGGTTTGATGAGTTGCACATTTTTCGACTCTAAAATTGTTCAGAAAAAATTCAAATAATTTACTATGTTCCAGAATTTGTACTAGTTTTGCATTTTTTTATCATAAAGAAAAAATCGGTTATCGCACTAAAAACTTCGTATCGTACTAAAAACATCCTTCCAGTTCTGGAACAGATTGTAATCAATAAATTGTATGCAATTTATTTTACATTTACCAGTTTAAATTGGGTTCTTGAATATAAAAACCAATAAAAATGCTGTCCTTCTTCTTCAGAAAGGATAGAAGCATAAGGAACGATTGAGCTAAAAGCACCAATTTTAGGAACACATTTTTAATTTCGCCATCTAAATATTTGTCGAGCATCACTAAAATAAATAAGCTTCCTCCATTTAAGACTCCAACCTTGTGAAAATGTTTGCTGACGATTTCATAAAAATGATCAAAGTTAATAATAGCTTAGCAAGCTATCGAGACCTGAATTTGGGTACATGTAATTACGGGTCTAACACAACATATAATACCTTACCTCTAATGTATTCTATGGTATAATTATATCTTAAAGGTGCGAGTACATAAAAAGCTTGAAGTCGTGGTTATCATATTAATGTCAAATTATAATGGAAAACGACGGCAGGAATATAGTGCGGCTCTGCAATCGCTTTATGAAATGTCACAGAATATGCCCAGCCATGACTTCAAGCTTCTTATGTCACCCTAAGGCTGGAAATACATAAAGCGCATATTTGGCTGGCTTAAGTCATCGGCTGGCTTCTTCATATATGAACAAAGGAGTTTTAGGTTGACCTAGTTCGATTTTGGCCCCAGGGTCCTTTTTCATTTCCGAAGAAGCCAGCCAAATAAGCGTTTTATGTATTCCCAGCTTAAGGGTGCAAGTACATAAAAGGCTTGAAGTCAAGGCTAGGCATATTAATGTCAAGTTATAATGGATAACGACGGCAGGATTTAAAAAAGAAAGTGAAAAGAAAATATTAGGAAACAGCTGATTTGCTTGGAAATTGTGGCTTTTATTTTCAAAATACCCAAGTACAGAGTTACCGTTATGTAGGGACTACACCTAAACGTGGATTGATATAGTCCATTTTCAACAAGATCGCAAAATTTCATTCATTTAAATAAATGACTCCTTAAATATTGACTCCTCTATTTTAATTTTATGAAATCGAAATAGAATTTTAAGCTAACCACGAAAATATAAATCTGAAGAATATTTCGTTTGAACTTTTGCGAATTAACATACCCTCCACCTTTTTTTGTTCAACTGTTCACACTTTTGTTTATTTACCAAAATGATCCCTCACATATGAGTTTTCTTCATTGATTGGCAACACTGTGAGCCACCGTGTAGATGAGAGCGCGTAATGTGGCTGTGTTATGCGTATGCGTAAATGTGTGTAATTGTATTTACAAATACAAATATACAACAAAACATACACACGTACATATGTTGGAGTATCTGGTGCGTGTGCATGTCATCTAGAAATTACCAACAAAAACAACTACAGGATTTTCAAGTTGAACGGCTGAACAACGGCAGTAGCCGTTGACAACGGCGATGGCGGTGGCGACAAACGGCGGCCAAAGAATAAGAAAGAAAAACGAAATGAAATGGAATGAAATGAATACAAACAAAATACTATGTACATACATACAGACACACATTCAACCATAAACAAAGTCCTTTTAACTGTCTCATGTCTGTCTATATTTTATATATGGGTATGAACGGACGGTTGTAGCCATGAAACTTGTTCTCATTCCTCCTCTTCGCCGTCTTGTTCATCTTCTTCTTATTACTATTATTATTCTGACGTCGAATTCGAGGATATGTTTTTTTTTTGTGTTGTAGTCATGTATTTAATTCACACAAATTTGTACATAGATACGTATGTGTGTGTGTGGAGAGTAGTATTAGCAGATGGATTTTTAGGGGATGTTCTTCAACCAAAACTAAACTACCTATAGAAATTAATGTGACAGAAATAAATGCAATGCAGCCCCAAGCTTGATACATTTTTTCGTTATTTTCTTTTGTTATTTTATTGGTAGGTTGTTGGTACTTGAAAAATCAATATTTTCATTGAAATAAAATTTGGGCAAGAAAAAAAACAAACAAAATAGGCATTTTATTTTCAGATGCATATCCATATTTTTATTTTAAGTATCCATCTGACGTATAGTTAATAGCTACTATCTGTATGTCATTCTGCCCGCCCGTAGTGTGCTTCTAATAGGTAAACAACAACAACAATATCGTAGCAGCAGCAAGATACTCTCCGTTTGAATGGAAAGTGTTTGAAAATAATAAATATTTGTATGTAGCTATCTATGTACATATGCACGTATGAGCGATGTTCGTATGTACACTGGTGGCCAAAACTAAAGCAACTTAAATCGCAAAGACAATAAATGTCCTGTAACTTTTACAAAAATAAACAAATCGTAATTATTTTTCCAGTTTTAAATGAGGGGTTTAATTCACTTTTAAGAAACTAAAAATAAAAATACAAAAATAATTTTGAACGAAGAATAATATGTGGAAATCTAAAATGACCCAATTTTTGCCTGGTCAAAACTAAAGCAACTTTTGATTTTTTATTTTTAAATAATTAAATTTTGGGTAGTAGTCGATAGCATAACCATTATTTTTGATAGCAGCTGCACACCTACGAGGCATTGAATCTATAACACGCTCAATTTGATCCTTGGGTGTGCTTTCACAGGCACCCCGAATTCTTTAGAAAATGTTGTGCTTATTTATTTCCGAATCTCTCTTGATCTTTCTATCTACGATACTCCAAAGGTTTTCTAAGGAGTTTAGGACTGGTGATTGTGCCGGCCATAACAAAACATGAATTTTTGACTTCCGCAACCAATATTTGACAAGTTTTGATACAAGTTTGGGATCATTGTCATGCTGAAACACCCAAATCAGCCAAATATTTTACTCAGCGTAAGGGAACAACGTGATGTCCAACACATCTTTGTAAACAAACCGATCCACAACTTCCTTTAATTTATGGATAGGCCCAAGTCCATAGAAAAAAAAAGCGCCACGCCATTTTTGACCCTCCCTCATGCTTCACTGTACCTTTGCAACACTGCGGCTTGAGTACTTCATTTTTTGGTCTTCTCACCGTAAAATTTTTCACGTCTGAGCCTTTAATATTAAACGTAGACTCATCCCAGAAATAATGTTTTTTTTTCCATTGAGCTTGATTCCACTTAATATTATCGTTTCCGAAAGCCTTTTTGATGTTTTCAGATATAAATGGTTTTTTGATGTCTTACGGGCATGCAGACCAGCTGCCACTACTCGTCTACGCACTGATCTCGAGCTTATATCCAATGATTGCTCTCTCACCAATCCAGTTGAACTCTTATATAGTTGTTTTTTATTTCTCTCACAATTTGTGGATCAGTACGGGCTGAAGTTTTTCACGGCCTTCATCCGTAATAGACTGTTACTACTGATCCAGTTTCATAAAACCGACTTAGTATACAGAAATAATTATGAAATCACATAAATATTTATGAAATATCATTTTCTGTGATATGTTGTTTTGATAGTCACTGATAATTTGCTGTTTTATTCAGGTACTGTATTTGCTTCTAGCCATTTTTAAACTTTTTTTGGCCAGTACTTAAAAAACGAAAAGAAAAACACATGCTGTTGTAAAAAACTTCTCAAAAAAGGAAGCAAAAAGCGATAAATATCACAGTAAAAACAACTGAAATTGCAGCAGTTATATGAATGTACAACAGTTGCTTTAGTTTTGTCCAAGCCAAAAACGGGTTGATTGACTTTACCAAACATTATTTTTTATATAAAAATGAATTTTGGTTTTATGTTTTAGGTTTTTAAAAAGTGAATAAAATACCTAATGTAAAACAAGAAAAACTTTCTCATTTTCTTAATTTTTGAAAAAGTTACAGGGCTTTCATTCTTCTTGTAATTTCAGTTGCTTTAGTTTTGGCCACCAGTGTACATGCGTCTGGAGTAGTTTTGGAGTTAATTCTACTTACACTTTGTGGCCCAGGCATACGCTGTAAGTGTTGTTTTTGTTGCTGTGCCTGGTTGCTGCTTTATAGGTGCTCCTACGGCCTTGATCTAAATGATTTTAGTTTTGTCTGTTTTTATTTGGTTAATTTTTCTTCTATTTTTTTGTTGTTGTTAGTTTTGGTTTTAATTTAATCTAGATTTTAAGTCTTTATAAGACTCGTAATTCAAATATATAAAATTGTTAACACTGTTTAAATCACAAATTAATTTCTATGAATATTTTGTTGTTGTTGTATTTAGTTGCTTGGTTTTTTTTTGTTTTTTGAAAAATGTTCTTGGCTTTTGTTTTCTCTGCGTTACTTTTCTTTTCAGTAGTTTCATTCAATTCATTGGGGTTGTGGTTTTTGTTTTTTCGTTTTCTTTAGTTGTTGCTTAAATCATTTGAATCATTTCTTATCATTTTCATAGAATTTTGGATTTCCGTGTGCATTTGGAGTATTCCGCTTTATTTTCTTTTACTTTTTGGTTCGATTAATGTCACATAGATACTTAAGACTGATTGTGAAGAGTCTCAAGTCACAAAATGTACCGCATGAATCCGTATCCAATCGTCTAAACCAACCAACACACCGACAAAGTTGCGATTACGTGTACTCAGATTGCAGTTGATGAGAGCGACTGTTTTCTTATTTTCTTGCTGCGTTCGTTGCGTGTGTGTGTTTGTTGTAAATAAATACGAATTAAAAGTGGCTGGCAACGCAACAACTCAACACACTCAGGTTGGCAACTAGACAGAGGGGGCTAATTTTAAGTTCCTCAATTTTCTCCCGTTCGCAGAAAGAGATTCAGAGGAGAAACCAAGAAAAATAGTGCCAAGTTCATGAGGGATCTAAATAAGAATGAGTAGGGAATGAAACACAACGAAAAACAAAAACAAGAGAGAGTAGAATGAGTGAAGGAGGGGAACAGTGGGGACTGCTACCAAAATGAATTGCGCTACCATTGCAGCTTTAATCAAATTTTATTTTGTTTTTGTCAAATCGTTACTTGTTTTAAATCATAATTTCGTATGTAAGTTCTGTAATATCATATCTATCATATCTGAAAGCTGCAAGTTTACTCAAAAATCAAGTAAAAAGGAAAAATAGCAAAGCTGGAGCTGGTTCCGTGCTCTTTTGGTGAATGTGTTTGTGTTGTCGGCCGTTTTGTTTTGATTCCTCTTGTGTTGTCCGCCTTTCCCTTTTGATTCCCTTATTATCGATTTTCTCTCTGTGCTGTCTTTCTTTTCTGTGTTGCCATATTGTAGTGTCCTTTGTTCGTTACTTCACTTTTTTTCTTTTCTCGGTGGCGTTCGGTTGGTAATTCATCCAATTGATTTAATTTTTTAATTTTTAAACGTATTTCTATATATAAATATCATAAAAATCTAGAAACATATAGAACAGATGTGTATATGTGTAATTTGAGATTGTGCGTGATTTAAAAACTTAAAAAAACAATAAACAAACCCGACCGCCAACATAACCTCCAATGCGTGGATAAAAAACAAATGGATTAATGGTCCATGGATAGAAAAGCCATATATGTGTCTCCAGCAACTCGATGATATTTTTTCCAGCTGTATTTATTTGTACCCTGATTCCAGGAAAGTATTTTTTCTTGGGGGACGGATTCCCGAGCACGTATATTAACTCCAAACGCCCCAAACGACGGGTTTAAGTCCCGGGTTAGAACCGGATCTGCAGGTTCTGTTCCAGAGCAAATGTATTTCCTATCGCATTGGATACATGAACACGCAATACCATCAGCACATTTGAATTCAAATATCGGAAATTGGAAATTTGTGAAGGAGAAGGGTAATTTGCGTTTTGTAACATTCTGAGTCGATTTATGTATGTCCGTCTGTCCATATATTTTTGTCAACAAATTACAGTTCGCATTTATTACCCGATCCAGATGAAATTTTGCACAAGTCATTTGTTTGGCCCAAGGACGAACCCTATTGAAATTGTTGGAGATAATCTGTCAAAATTTAGATATAGCTCCCATATATATCCTCGTCCGATTTGCTTTTTATTGTGCATCAAACGTGTAATATCAGTCCATATATATATATTACTGATCAGAAAAAAGTTATTGTACGATTTACCGATGTTCACGATAAAGTCCACCTTATTTAGTCAAGAGCTTTAAAATGTAGCACAAAGGTTTAAGTTATAAGTTATTGAAACCAAATCTTGCAAATTTAGTTGTAGTTCCCATATATATCTTCAACCGATTCCGACTAAATAACTCCCACAAACAAGTACGTCAAATTTGGTGAAGATCGATTTAGATATAGCTTTAGCTCCCATATATTGTTCATCCGATTTGTCATTTGTTACCCACAGCCGTAATATGCACTCCGTAACAACGAAATATATGAAATACAGCTCAGAAATATCTTTGCCAAATTTTATCGAGATCGGTTCCGATTTGGATATAGCTCCCTGTACAAAATACTTTGTACATACTTTTGAGTGCGGTTGAGGCGCTGGGAAAAACCAGCAATAAACAATAAATATTCAAAAATTACATATTTCCCAGCCGCCATAAAATACCACATGTGAACAATTCGGTGATCTTGTGCGCTGACGCATACGATAATGTGTCAGATAATAAAGGTTATGACCCACACGCACAGATATCGATGCGCTCAGTAGATGCACAAGATCACTTGAATGAAATGTAAAGCAGCCCTGCAATGTTCTCCATTCAATATTAGAATAGATAAGAACAATTGTGTGGCTGCGACTAGGTTAAGTTAGATTAGTTTCAGTAGTACGTAAGGAACATGAATTTTAAATAAAAACAGAATTGAATCAACAGCCAAACCTTTCGGTTGGTTTTCTCTTCTCAATCACTCCCATATATATCAAATGGGCAATACAAGTCCGAATTTAAAAGATACAAATGCTTCGGAATATTTAGTCTTTAGAACTTTAAATTATAATAATATAATAATCCTAGCGTGTATGTATGTATGTATATTGACAGAAACAGAGACATTAAATCAATACCAAATATCCCCAATATCTAATTGGTGGAATTTGTGGTCAAAGGTCCAATTAGACCCACCAATTGAAGTGGAAGTGTAATAAGAAAGTATATTAAGTTAGAAAATAAAAGGAAGAAATTGCGCAGTGCCAATCCAGTCCATCTGCCTCTTCTGCCGGTTTCGGTTTACACTCAGGCTATGCCTGGGAAGTGATTCAATTAAGTGCATTATCTTAATTATTTAATGTATAATCCGTATTGAATCTGTGCCGTGTATACCCTAATCTGCAAGCACACCTTGATACAAATCGATTTGTAAATGTGTTATCTCCATATTTCCATATTTTCCAAAATGAAAATATTATTAGGTTCTAACATAAATTACTGGTTGTTTTGTTTTTCCATTTTTGATGTTCCATTATGTCTAGAATTCGACAGTGCTGCGTCCCTGGGTGCGAGAACTCTCTCATTAGATTTTGCCCCCAGGAAATAAGTATGCATGGCATAAAGGATGCATGGAAGACAATTCTATTAGAAAAACATGGAATACCAACAAAAAAGACGTCTCGAATATGCGGTAGGCATTTCAAACAGAATATGCGGCTTTTAAAATGTGAAATATTGGTTTTCTTTGCACAGACACATTAGGTCTGTGTGGTTACTTTTCCTGCAGGATTGTCCAGCAACTACTTTCTAAGAGAGTAGACTTCTTTTGCAAGAAAAAAAAAAAACGGACGGAGTCCCAGCAAAATCAACTGATTTATCAAAATAAAACATCTGCAACCAACTTTAGACTGCTGTCATTTCTAAGCCACTCGTCCGACAGCTGTTAAAACTATTCCAGTGAGCGCTCATTACATTGTTTACAAGCGTACAAAATTTTCCAGAAAAAAGTTATTTGTAATGGAATTCAAGCGTCATAGTGTGACTTTGTTATATTTGGCTGGAAAACCACAAGTGGCTATCGTTAGAGCACTCCATCATTTAAATAATCGATCGTGGCATCAGAATAAATGCCGAATATTATCGAGAAAATATTCTGAAAAATATCCGCAGACATCCCAACAGGACTCAGCACCATCGCAGTCGGCATGCGCCACCCAAGAATGGTTACAAAATGAGGTTCCTCGCTTCATTTTCAGCGCACAATGACCACCAAAATACCAATCTGTTGGACTATTGTGTCTGGAGTAAGGCAAGGTTGGCATTAAAAAATACCAAAGTGTCGATCACCTCAAGCAAGCGCTTTGCCGGGAATGGGCCAAAATACCGCAGAGCAACATTCAGGCAGCTTGATTGTTTCATTGGCCGTTTGAAGGCCATAATTCGTGCCAAAGGTGACCAACTGGAACAAATCTAACTCTTTATTCAATAAAATTAAAAAAAATGTAAAAATGATGGCGTTTGACTTTGTTGCAGTTTTTTTTTATCTCATCCTGTATATCTTTGTATGAATTACCTTTTTAGTGTGTTAATTGTTCCAAATAACAGACTATAATAGATGTAAGCTATTTAGGAAACTGCTTGAAATTATGTTTACGAATCGTTTAAAAATGTATTAATCCTTAAAAAACACCTTAAACCGGATAGTATTCTCTTGTGTGTGTGGGACTTCACAAAAACCATGCGATAGTATAAATAACCAAAAAGTTTACATGTCACATTCGACCCCCTCCCCCGTTTGGGTGGTAAGAAGGCTCAGATGACTGATTGTTAGATCCACTCATTTTAACTAGCCGACGGAACAGTTATACATATATCAGCCAAACGAACATATTAGTTGTCAATAAAATAAAATAATTGGTTATAGAACTAAAGTAAATGGTTATAGCATAGAATATTCCATTTTTACTTTGATAATCAACTATTTATATATATTTCTCACACGATTCACTATCACTACAAATGCAAATATTCGATGGAAAATTTACTTTTTTGATGTTGAACTTGGGATGTACAGTATTAAAATAAAATCTTTACACTCTTTAAAACTTCTTGTTTGTTATTTTACTTTTATTTATTTATTTTTATTATTATTATCATTATTTTTTTTTTTTTTTTTTTTTTTGTATACGTTTGATTATTTTAGTACTTTTTTTTAACACGGCATACGAGAAAACACCACTTTCTTTATTGGATTGTATTTGGCAACTAACCAATGACTTCTTTTCTAAGTAACCCTTATGTTTGGAGCACTGTTATTTGTTTGCTGATTTTCGGGGTGGGTGTTTATTCCTTCGTCCGAATTTGATAAGCGAATTCGTGATGGTGGTGGTTGCATTATTCCAAGGGGGTTGATTAAAACTCTTATACTTCTTAATGTGTGTGAGTAATAACGGATAATACTTTCGAATAAATTTTCAAAAAATTAACGTTTTGTAGGCCTATAAGTATACCTTAATAACGGGTGATGTACACAACATTAGTCTTGTACGAATACATTAAGTGTGTCTGGTTTTTTATATTTTTTATGAAAATACATTTTTCTATGTTTGAGGGGAATTATTCTTGTCTTAAGAATTAATACAGGGTGAGATAAAAAAAACTGCAACAAAGTCAAACGCCATCATTTTTACATTTTTTTATTTTATTGAATAATAGCAAAAAATGTCGGATTTATCAAATTTTAGAATAAGTTTAGATTTGTTCGAATTGGTCACCTTTGTCACGAATTATGGCCTTCAAAAGGCGAATGAAACCGTCACACACTGCTCGAATGTTGTTCTGTGGTATTTTGGCTCATTTTCGGCGAAGCGCTTGCTTGAAGTGATCGACACTTTGGTATTTTTTAGTACAAACCTTGCTTTCCAAAATACTCCAGTCACAATAGTCCAACGGATTGGTATCCGGAGGTTTTGGTGGCCATTGTGCGCTGGACATAAAGCGAGGAACCTCATTTTGTAACCATTCATGGGTGGCGCGTGCTGAGTGCGATGGTGCTGAGTCCAGTTGGAATGTCCAAGGTCTGCGGCCAAAATGTTTGTGCTCAAGGCTTTAAAACACCCTCCAGAATACTTTCGCGGTAATATTCGGCATTTATTCTGATGCCACGGTCGATTAATACGAGAGCCGGCGCTTGAGTTCTGGTGGCCAACCAAAGGTGCACATTTTCAGCTGACCTTTTTGGCAAGTAAATTCGATCATTTTGTTTGTTTACAAATCGCTGGACAACGAATGGACGAGTGTCTTAAAAATGCCAGCAGTCTGAAGTTGGTTGCAGTTTTTTCATCTCAAAATAATACTTTTCGATATGCCTACAATAATTAAACAAATACCATTTTTCTTTACAAATACTTCGATTTCGGATTATCTTAGCCGAATTCCTTAATAAAGACATCCTGCAGCTGTTGTCTAACCTGTAGTTTTCTTTGTTCATTCACCTTTCTTAGGTACGGCAGCAAACTTAACAAAAACATACGATCCGAATCTTCTTCGAGAGAATCGAACCCAGGCTCTGTATTTGTGGCCATTTCTTGATGCATTTTAAAATTGGCAATGGTAATTTTTTTCATCGGCTTTTCATCGTTGACATAGTCTAGTTTGTCCGATTGGTTATTCATCTCCTTGCTATTATCGGGATTATCGGGACATTGGAGATTTTCATCTGTCGAAACGGCATCTTCATCAAACTGATCGTCATCATCATCATCATCGTCGTCGTCTTCGTCGCCGCAACCACCACCGCCACCATCGTCATCTTCCTCATTGGCGGGCACACCGTTTGAAGCCATACGTTGTCCATAAAATTCAGTCTTATCGTCTTTGTGATAGGACATGGAGCCAGCCATTGATGTTTCCGAAGATTCCGACACCTCAAGTTTTATACGTTTATTTGCTGTTGCAGTATTGCCTTGAAATATGGCAGCAAACTCGGAAAAATTAAATTGATTTTGTAGCGTATTATCGTATTGTGTTTCAGCCGGACCATTAGTGGTGTTGGTGGTTGGCCGATGCCCCTGACGCTGTCCGGCATTGTGCAGTTCTTGCCAGTAAAATGATTGTTCTCGCAAGCGATGGTGTCGCATGACATTTTCGGCCACTGCTGGTTCCATGAATCGCATGTCATTATAAAAACGCCATGTGGTTGGGGGTTCCGACGACAAGGTGTTGCGTATGAAAACCTTGCGAAAGTTATCCCGCAGATGTCCCCATTTAATACGGCATATGTCGGCTGAAAAATGAACACATTGATTTTTATAGAAACAAGCAAATTACAAAACCCCCATTCGATTTAACGGTACAAATTGCAACTCTGAGCCATTTCAGTTTAGAAGTTTGGAAGTACGTACTTTGTTGTTTTGTACCAGCAGTCAGATGTGTTACGTTTTCAAAACAACAAACGTAGCGACACGGTTTACGGTTGTTGTTTTTGTTTGTTAAATTCACATACGTACACATGCTCACACACACACTCACACTAGCGCACAACCAGACTCATACATACCTGGAAGATGAACTTCTGAGCTAACTTGTTGCCATAGCAAATTGATATCGGATCTCTTCTGGCCATTATTTGTGCGTATCCAGAGATTTGGTCTTTGCGAGACGGATGCAATTAATTTCTTCACCACTTCGATGGGCAGCTTTGCAGTGTTGGTATGAGGGGTAAAGTGGATGTATTTGCTTCCTGTTGCTGTTGCATGATGATGTTGTTGCATATTCTTCCCGTAAACTAACTAACTAACACTTCACTATTCGTGATGATGTGCTGTTGCTGCTGCTGCTGCGAATGCGGCTGTTGTTGATGCGTTTTCCGTCTTCCTGAGTAACAAACAATGCTCCGCGCACATTCACTCTGACACTGATGTCGAGATCAGTTGAAAACTTTAGCTAAGCCCTCATCATGGTCGCGGCGAGCTCACCATGCACAACAACAACAATAGCGAATAGTTTAACCGCTTGCGCTCTATTTGCCAGAGTGAGCTGGGAGAGACGAATAGTCGTCTTGCTTTTTCCGGATACGCTTCCGTTAAAGTTTGGTTTGTTGTCTGTATACGCGAAATACACAGGCAGATTGTTTGTAAAAGCAACTTGTTTTTATTGTTTGGCATTCTTTTTTTTTTGTTTCTTCTTTCCTGGCTAAAGTTACACTTCAGTGTATGAATGTATGTCTGAAAATAGCAAATATGAAAACCGTAAAATCAAAGAAGCCAAGGGGATTCTTTCCAATACGTTTTCAATTAATTTTCTTCCAGCTGCGAAAAGAGATGACTTCATTTCATTGAAGACAGAAAGTAGTGGCTCAGTTAAAACAAAAATAGCCATAGGTTGGATAGAAACTTACGGAAGATCTAAAGAGGTTTACTTTTCGTTGGCAAAATTTTAATATCCAGAAAGTTCGTTATAACAAAAGTTTTACCTATGGGTTTACCTTGTACTGCATGTTCCACAACTAAATAAAAGTTGATGTGTAAAAAACCAGCATCAGAAATACAGGGTGAGATAAAAAAAACTGCAACAAATTCAAACGCCATCATTTTTACATTTTTTTTTTTAAATTTTATTGAATGAGAGCAAAAAATGTCGGAAATAGCATCAAATATTAGAATAAGTTTAGATTTGTTCGAATTGGTCACCTTTGGCACGAATTATGACCTTCAAACGGCCAATGAAACCGTCACACGAATGTTGCTCTGCTGTATTTTGACCCATTCCCGGTGAAGCGCTTGCTTGAGGTGATCGACACTTTGGTATTTTTTAGTGCCAACCTTGCTTTCCAAAATACTCCAGACACAATAGTCCAACGGATTGGTATACGGAGACTTTTTGGTGGCCATTGTGCGCTGGAAATGAAGCGAGGAACCTTATTTTGTAACCACTCTTGGGTGGTGCGTGCTGAGTCCTGTTGGAATGTCCAAGAACTGCGGCCAAAATGTTTGCGTGCCCAAGGCTTTAATACACACTCCAGAATATTTTCGCGATAATAATGCCACGGTCTATTAATACGAGCGAAGAGCGAGTATCGGCTGTTATGGTACGATGGTACGAGACACAAAAGATTTATTCACATTTAAATGCTGCAGTACTCTATCACGCTTAAATTCCATCACGAATAACTTTTTTTCTGGAAAATTCTCACCAAAATGCTTTTGTACGCTTGTAAACAATAGAATGAGCAGTCACTGGAATAATTTTGGATTATCGGACGAGTGGCTTAGAAATGACAGCAGTCTGTAGTTGGTTGCAGTTTTTTATCTCACCCTGTAAACATAAGTATACCAGCGTCACAAAAGCACCACGAAACGTACCATATAACTATTAACAAAGAACTCGGAATTGAAAGTCACTTATAAGGTAATCGATGGAAACCGATTCGATTTGTGGAATCAGAATTGGGTTTATTTCAGTGCTCCTATGGCAGAATGATCTTATATTTTTAAATTTCACTTCCAATTTCCATGAAGGAATCACTCATAACTGAGGTATTGTAAATTGATTTACTTTTATTTTGACATTTTTCGGTACTTATTTATGTATAAAAAAAACCTTAAAGCAGCAAAAACGCAAAATCAATATGGCATTCCTCACGACTTAATAAAATATTTGTCATGATTTTTTACATGGTAATTTTTAGGTCACAAGTTGTCTTGCCAAAGTCCAATGATTGGCGGATTAAAAAAAAAATCAAAGTTGCAGTTCCCCAAAGAAAAAGCTTGTATTTTATAAATAAAATCTTCGGAAAATCATTTTTTAAACACATTTTTTCTATCGCTTTATTCAAAAAAACTCTGTACTACTACTGCAAAAAAATAAATTCATTCATCGAAGCTTGCCACAAAAAGAAAACAAATGTATGTTTCATAAAAAAGTCAAAACACAGCTTCTGTGACATTGTCATTATTTTACAACACTCTTCAAATAAACTTATTATTTCATGTGTACCGATACACAAAAGTATGTATAATAATTACAAAACGATTATTTGAAAAAATAAAATGAAAATCAATTTCACTTTTACACATCCATTACAAACTGTACAAATAACAAAATAAAGATTGTTATAACGCACATGAAATATTTCTTTTCATATTTGAGCGATTTCTCGCCTGGGAATATTCAAATTGTTGCTATACTAGACTTATTACTGCGACATTTCTTCTTATTGCGAAAACATCTCTGCACCACTACGACCCGTTTGAGTCTTCGCTGAAGACGTTGATTCTGTTGCTGTTGATTGCGTAAACGTGTAGTGGTTAAGCGTTTTTGGGGACGTCTAAATTTTGTCTTAGATTGTCATCATTTTGTCAGACCCGCAGGCGAAGTTGATAGGACTATTGCGGTTGGGGTTTTATCCGCAGGGCTGGGCTCCATATTTACGTTATTACTCGAGCGCCTTTTGTGTGACGACGACTTGTCTAGATTTGTGGCAGAAGCGGCATTGATGTTTGTCCCAGCTGCCGATGTCGTCGTACAAGTCGTGGTGTTGGACGACATTATTGAAACATTTTTCTGTGAATTTCGGCGTGTGCCTGTTGCGGAATTCACATTATTTACCGGTGAACCAACGGGGGTTGTTGTGGATGCTGGATTGGAACCATACTCGTTATCTTCATTTAAATATATATCCATATGATCTACAGTATCGGTGTTTGCAAAATTATGGTCCCTACGTTCGCTTTTCTTCCACAAGTAGTAGAACTGTACCAACTCACGCATGGTTCTCGTTCGCACCTTTTAAATCAAACAAAATTATAGGATGAATTTCAATTTAACCCTACTGTTAGAATGAGCAAAATTTCACCTGATTCTGACGAATCTTTAGAAAATCTTTGCCGTACTTTTGTATACCCTCTTCAAATTTTTGACACTCCTCTTCGGACCAAAGACTCATACTGTCGTTCATGGGTAAAGCGTTTAAACGTTTACGCCTTAGGGCTTCCTTAAAGTCGTAACCACATTGGACCAGTAAATGCAAGGCCTTTAAGTTTAAATATTGAATAAGTACCACTGTCTTTGCTGACGTAATTGCATCAACATTCTCACCTGTTCATTGTCTTTAACTACGGCTGGTACGTCTTCCGCTGAAGAACTGGTTTGAGGACTTGATTTCTTTTCGCCGTTTGCCATTAGAGAATTGTTCTCTATATTATCTTGATTTGACTCCAGTGCTTCCCCGTTTTCTTTACTTGTTGCGGCATTTTGGGCCTCAAAGGAATCAGGATTTTCATCATCTGTCCCTTGGTTTCTATTGATGTCTCTTATTTTAAGTAAATAGGCCTCTACTTCACGTTCCGTAACCTGACTTGGTTCCCATATTAGCAAGTCCTCGTTTTCATATGGCAAAATATCACCATATTGGGAGAGTCCAGGAATAAATGCCTGATACGAAGGTCCTATCATTACTTTCTTCTTATATTCCTCATCTTCCTCTTCGTCAACGCCTTCCTCCTCCTCTTCATCTTCAACGCCGTAAAGTGTCTCTAAGGGAATGTCTAAAAACAAACACATACGTATTTAATTCCAATGAAAATATCAACGCTTGTAAACAGAAAATGTACCTTTGTCTGCGTCGATTATTTCACCAAATGTACCCGCAGGATACAAATCCAATAAATGGGTTCTTCTCACTGTGGGCATATCGGGTATATCAGTTTCATTGGTCTTTTTACATTCATCATCATCCACCGTTTCATCTTCTTCCTCTTCCTGTATTTTTTCCTGCTCTATGGAATTTTTTTCGTCATTACTCTCGCTGTTGAATGTGTAGTCCTCAGTGTTGTTGGCAAGAGCCGCATTTGATTTTGTAGCAACTTCTTCCTCAATCCGAATCCTTTCTTTATCTGGATCACAAGTTTCTTCTGCTGTTGCAGTGGCTTGGACTTTTGATTTTGTCTTGTGTTTCTTCTTACTTGATTTCTTGGCTTTTTTCCGAAGCGGTTCTTCAAACTCCATCGGTGGCAACGCCTGATACTTAGCTAACAGCTCTTCCAAAGGAATTTCACTCTCCTCCTTCAAAGTATTGATTTCTTCCTCTACATCCTCCAAAGCGCCTAAAGCTTCCTCTTCATTTAGAGTTTGTTCGTCGTCGAAATCGTTCACCATCATTTCTATTGTGGGCTCGAAAGTTTCATCTTTACTGGTCGACGATGACGAAGACGGAGACATGGGATCGGGGAAAAAATCATTTGAATTGAGGCTTGGTGAGACTTTTCTTTCCCTTTTGACCATGGGGGGTTTTAGCGACACATCGTCGTCTGCTGCTGCCGTTGTATTCTGTATGTCTATTTCATTTATTGTTTCTGCGCCTTCCATTATTCCCTTAGTTTTCGAATGCTTTTTATATTTAAATTTTATACATGAGCAGAAGCAATATTTTACAATTGCAAAAACACGAAATCTATGATGTTTTCAATACTCAAAATCGTTTTTAATCTATGGTTGAATCCTTGCTGGGAAATTCAAGTGTTGTGTGTCGTTCCGAAAAGAATTAATTCAGAATTAACATTCACCGAAAAGAGCGATGGAACTAGTTAAATGCCAGCTGTTTGCAATTTGGCCAACATGTACATTAGGTGTGTATGCTCGATAACTCATTAAGTAGGTGCGTGTGCACTAAAGCTGAATTTTTTAAAATAATTTTTAGCAAAGAGCATGGTAGAATTAAAAAGGTATAGTCATGTATTCACATGTTTCAAAATTATTCATTTGACAACATCTCATTGTCAAAATGGATATTTATAAATCCATTGAACAAACACATTTCAGAGATGGAAACCTGTTTTTAATGCAGTGAAATTTGACAAGGTGAATTACAGAAAATGTGGAGATGGGAATGTATATTTGAAATGACTTTAGCTTCTTAATTTTACAATGGGTTGGATTAAGAAGAAAAAGTCATGCAATCATATTTTTACAATTTTCTCATTGTCAAAATAAATTCATTGTACCTACACAAATCAGATATGGGAACCTATTTTCTATGCAGTGGAACTTGACATGATAAATGACAGGAAATTTGGAGATGGGTATGTTTATTCGAAGTGACTTCCCACTTAATTTTACAATTGTAAAGGAGTCTTACTGGGGAATGTAATGTAGCGTAATGTGTGGACCTGTAACATACGATGGGCAGAAATTTCGATCATCTTCATCAATTAACACCCAATGCGAATTGACATGACTGCACCATCCTGAACATAATTGAGCTGACTTTCTGTAGCTGCAATGGATAAGGGTATGTGACTACTCCGGATGAATGCTATGCTGACCTGCCTGATATGTCTCTTGATATAATGGCCATTGGCGAGAGATCCTTTGTTGTTAGGGCGGTGAGATTGTGGAATCAGCTTCCTTTGGCCTTACGTACTTTTGCCCATACCAATTATCTGTTTAGGTTTAAAGTAATTGAGTACCTTCGCCTAGGCTATGTTTTTGTAGTGGCTGCTCTACTAGACTATTTTTTAGTTGGTGATGGTGAATCGGGGTGTAGAGTTGGAGTTTCTCGTGAATTTTTAAGACAAATTATTAGGTTTAATATGTTATTTGTTAAGTTTGAATTAACCATTGAATTTGCATTATGTTAGGGTATTGTAAATAGATAATATAAGTTATGGGCCCTGTGGACTTATTTATATTTCTTTGTAAGTAAATACATAAAATGAAATGGCTCCATTTAGCTTTAGATCTCCCTTTTTAGTTCGTATAGGATCTTCCTGACACGCTTAATGCTAGGAACACAATTGGAGCGAACGACGAATTTTTTCGCGGCGTATGTTCGTCGTCAAAAATAAAACACATATGTGTATATGGAAGTGCACACAATCACGGCACCGGCGAAAATTTCGTCGGTCGCCACGAACTCAATTAGCTTTATTTCTATTTCATACGCCGGCGACCGGCGAACAAAACAGTACAAGGTGGCCATACTTGTACGAATTGTATGTGTTTTAGTAAATAAAGTTACTTTTTACTTAAAAATTTGTTATGGTCACTCTACTATCTGTTACTCGTATAAAAAAAACATAATTAATTTGTTTATTTATTTGTGCACTTGCGCCTGAGTGAAGATGGATATCAGTGAATTTATAATAGAGAAGATGGACACAAGTGAAATTATAATAGAGAACGTAAAGAATTATGTGTTCTTGTATAATTCATTGTAGTCAACAAATGAGCAAAAAGTAAACAACTTCATCAGCTGTTTTATAATTTCGTCGGTATTGTGTTCCATACGACGAATTTTCGCGGCTCATTTTGTCGCCGCGTAGGGCGAAATTCGTCGTTCGCTCCAATTGTGTTCCTAGCATAAGTGGGTGAGTTTTATCCACCATATGATGGTTTTGATGATGATGGTTTCAGAGGAAACCACAAATACTCATCTGTTCTCTTGATTGGATACCTTTTCTCATATTTTTTTTATACCCAGTATATAACACTATGCCTGAGTAGTCGTTTTTTTTTTCATTGCGGCTGATCATTCGCTAAATTATCTTTTTTATTCGCACTGATCGTTGTTATACATTTCGCTGCACTAAATTCTTGCAATTTATTAATAGTCCGACACAAATTACCTGGAGTTCGTGTGATAAATCATTTAATCATCATTTAATCATCGTCATTTTCATCAACCGGTTTCTTATTGTGGCGTTCTTACGTAACAATTTTGCTGGTTGCTTATTTCGTTGTTCTTGATTGCTTTTGTTGCTGCTATTTCTTGTTGCTGTGCTGCCGTTTGCTGCGCTGTTACGTGTTTAAGTAAGAAAAAATGACGAAGTGTGGTGCTTGTGATGAGACTATTACAAAAACTCAGGGGAGTATATTGTGTGGAGTCTGTAACAAATGGCTACATGCCCCCTGTGCCAAGATTAGTGATAAAAACTTATTAGCGTTGCGTGCTATGAAATATACGCATTTCATTTGTGCTAAATGTAATGGAAACACCCGCACCAATCACAATAGTGACAGCATTGCTGATGAAATTCGCAATTTAAATGCCAAATTTGATGGGTTTATATTGAATAACCAATCAGAACAAAATTCTATAAAGACAGCACTTGATGATATAAAAAATGAAATGTCTTCGTGTTTCACTGAAATTAGGAGTGACATAAAAACTTGCAACGATCGTATTAATCATGTGGAATCTAATGCATCATCAAAACTATCTGATCTGCAAGCTGAGATCAATTTGTTGCATCGGAGACTGAACAGAGCTGACATGTTAATTGGTGGATTGCCAGCGGGAATCGAAGATCTTCTTGCCCCTGTTCTATCCTTGGGCACATTTTTCAACGTACCAATCTCTAGCAGTGACATTAGCCACGTATCTTACATAAGCAAGAAGGCACAGATTCTGGTCAAATTTAATAATGTGCATGCCCGTGACTGTATAATGAAGGAATACTTCAAAACTAGATCACTTAAGGCGTGTGATATAATGGATGGAGCCTGTAGGGATTTAACTAATCGTGTGTATCTTAACGAGCATTACTCGCCAGGTGCAGCTTACCTCAACTCAATTTGTAGAAAACTTCAAAAACAAAATATTATTACAAAATTTAAAATTTTGAACTCACATGAGCTGAAAGCCAAACTAATGTTTCCGGACGGCAAAGTATTGTTTGCTGACGTCAAGAATGCTGCCTCACTTTTGAATGAATCCCCAGATGTTTCCACTTAAGCAGTATTTGACACTTTAACATGTTTTTAAAACTTGCATTTCAATAACTAGTTTCCTAATATTGTGTAGTAGATCTCATTTCTTAGAATTTTATGATCAGCTGTATGAGTATGTTAAGTTTGAATTCGTTTTAAATGCATTTATATTGTATAGTATTAGTTTTTTATTTCGATTCTTGGTTCCCCCCCACAAACTGTTTTTTGATTTATTATGCCCTTACGTGATAAACTAGGTCCAGTCGTGAATAATAACTCATACATAAAGGATGTACTTTGCCCATTTGACCGCAGTTTCAAGTTAGCTCATCTAAACTGCCGAAGTCTTAAACCTTTGTCAAAGATTGAAGAGTTGAGGCAAATCTTAAGAGATGGCATATTTCATATTTTTGCAGTCTCAGAAACATGGCTGTCGGCTGAAATATGTAGTAAAGCTGTTTCCTTGCCTGGATATAAGTTCTGTCGGAATGACCGACATCGTCCTGGCAGAGGTGGGGGTGTAGGGATATTTATACGTAGCGGAATTTCTTATAAAGTTGTGTTGAAAGTTTCAGGATGTGAGTCGTTATTTGTCGTAGTGCATTTTAACACTATTCAAATATTGTTTGGTGTTGTCTATTAGCCCAATGGAAATTTAGTTGAATTTGAATGCCACCATAGAGACCTATTTTCTAAATACTCCAAAGTTTTCATTTTAGGGGATTTTAACATCAATCTCTTTGACACATCCAGAGCCAATGCTTTTCGTTCTATCTGTGCCCAGTATAATATATCTATCGTACATAATTCCATGCCCACACATTTTAACTTAGGTAGAAGATCAACCTCACTTATTGATTATATGCTTACGAGTGATAGTTCATGTGTGAGATATTTTGATCAGGTTCAATGTCCGTCTGTGTCTGACCATGCTCTTATTTTTGCATCTATAGATTTCGATGTCCATTATCTGCCCGATTTTATAGAGTTTCGTGATTATAACAATATTAATTGGATTAGGTTATTTAGATTTCTTGAGTCCTTTGATAATAATGCAATGTCTAATTCAATCGATGCAAATGAAAAATGTTCTTATTTAGGTGGTTTGCTTGCTGATCTTTTTTCTTGTGTACCAATTGTTAGAAAGAAGGTACAGTTTTCTCCAGATCGTTGGTTTATGGCAAGGGACGTTACTTTTGCAAGATCTGTAAGGGATCTAGCATATACTGCTTTCCAGAGAAATAAGTCTCAGGAAAATTGGGTAAAGTATTGTAGGTATCGTAACAAAGCAAGGACAGTTATTCGTAGGAATAAAAGGAGATATTTTTCAAAGCTTTTTGGTAATATGACTTCGTCTGAAATTTGGAAAGTGCTCAGGAATTCGGGATGTGTGCAACATGATAGCGCAGAATTTGATATTGATGTCAATGATATAAATACTTTTTTCGCACAGGCCAATTCTACGTCGGATGATAATTTTGATATAACTCAATTTAATGACACTACTTCGTTTTCCTTTAGATGTGTTTCTGTGGTTGAGATTTTCGAGGCGGTTATTAAAATTAAGTCGAATGCGGTTGGTATTGATGGAATACCAATCCGCTTTATAAAACTTGTCATTCCTTACATATGTGACTATATTCTGGATTTGGTCAATTTCATCTTGACTTGTTCCTCTTACCCATTAGCTTGGAAAAATGCCCGAGTAGTTCCTATACCAAAAGCTAAAAACGTATATAGTCCAGATGACCTACGTCCAATATCAATCCTACCAGCAGTTTCAAAAATTATGGAAATGATCTTGAAGAATCAAATTTTGGAATACACTTCAAATATTATATCTGACACACAGTTTGCATTCCGGCAAAGGCACAACACCACACACTTACTTTTAAAAGCCACTGATTTCATCCGCCATAATATTAATGATCGAAAATTAAGTGTCCTTTTATCTCTTGATCTGTCAAAAGCGTTCAATTCCATTAACTTTGCTCATTTAATCACTAAATTAAGAGATAATTTTAATTTTTCTGGAACTGCCTGTAAACTGATTTATTCATTTATCAGAGATAGATCACAGTTTGTTGCTATCAATGGTAACCAATCTGACCCAGTGAGTTTAAATAGTGGTGTACCGCAAGGTTCTATACTGGGACCACTATTATTCCTTCTTTATGTTAATGACTTGCGTGATACCATGCAGTTCAAATCTTGTGAAACGTTGCAGTTTGCTGATGACATTTTCTTCATTTTAACTGGAGATAGTGATAACTTATCTTTGTTCGAAAGCAATGTAAATGAATGTCTGCAGCAATTCTCTAATTGGGCATCGGCGAATTATCTTACAATTAATCCGTCAAAAACTAAGGCTTTGATGTTTGGTAAGAGGAATAATATGGCTTCTGATATAAATGTCCATTTAAATTACAATAATATTGAATTTGTTACTCACCACAAAATTTTGGGTGTTATAGTGGATAATGAGCTTTCTTTTAGACAACATATTGATGCTTTATCTGGGAGAGTTTGCTTTTTGTTGAGAAAGATCTATTCCGCCAAATTATATATGCCTCTCCGTATTAGAAAATATTTAGCTCATGCTGTGCTGATGTCTAACATCCTATATGGTTTGGAAGTAATCTCGGGGTGTATCGGAATCAGTTTTACACGTTTACAGAGAATTTTAAATTCAGTTGTGCGTTTTGTTTACAACGTTCCCCGAAGGAACCATATATCTAGATATGTTAAACTTTTTCTGGGGTATTCTTTTACCGATTTTGTGTCTTATAGGATTCTTGTTGCCTTTTATAATATTATCAAATGTCGCACACCAACATCTCTATACAGTCTTTTTGTGTTTTCTCATTCAACAAGAAATCCTCAAATAGTTATACCAAGGATTTATAGAGATGATTGTGCGAGATCGTTCTTAGTTAGAATTGCACGGAATTGGAATCTATTACCCTATGAACTGAGGATATTTTCCCACTCTAATAATTTTTATTCATTTTGCTTCTTTTGAGCTGTAGTTTTCTTTTCTAAATAGCCATGCTTCTGATTTTCTGACTTTTGGTGAAATGATCTTCATAATGATTGCATTGTATTACAACTATTTGAGTTATTGTTTGCTTGGACGCTATATTTTTCTTGTCTTATTATATTATTATGGCTGGGGAGCCAATGAAGAGAAATTATTTTATAGTTTTAATTTTTTTTGTATTTAATTATAAGTATTAAATACTCAGGTTTTGCTAGCTATGTAATATGATTTTATGGTCTTAGAGGCCCTGTATTACACAAATGAGTTTGAATAAATAAATAAATATAATAGAATCATTTGAAGTTACTGAATAATACATGATTCGAAAGTTGTCATACAGACCTATTACAGCCACATTCTCCTTCGGCTATCATGTGTATCATGTGTTAAGGTACAATCTTGCAGGGACTAGCTCACATGAAATAGAGGGGTTCCATTCGTCAGTGGCTTGGAGGTAGAAGGTAACTTATTAATTAAAAATTATTTATAATTTACGAAATTATATATTAAATTTCTATTTATCTAATAGATAAATTTGCTGAAGATGAGGCCTCCTTTGTTGGGGCGGCTAACTAAACTGTTGCGTCATGAACAGTACCTGAATCGACATGTATCCCTCACTTATCATCGTTATCTAAGTCAGTATAAAAGGACCGCTACGGGCTGTGCAAAAATATTACCCACTTTATCGTACTCCAGGCTATATTGCACGGCAATCAAAGCTCCAAAACTAGAGGATGCCAAACCACATTGTAATGTTGGTACCATAGGCCATGTGGATCATGGCAAGACGACCCTTACTGCTGCCATAACAAGAGTTCTATCGAAGAAAGGTTTATCGGACTATGTATCATACGACCAAATCGACAGAGCTCCAGAAGAAAAGGCCAGAGGCATCACCATTAATGCGTGTCACATCGGCTATGAGACGCCGCTACGAACCTATGCCCACACCGATTGTCCAGGGCATGCAGATTACATAAAGGTATATCAGCATAAAAAAGCATCCATCCTGGTATCATCGAACATTTAATGTTTTCTTCTTTCGTTAAAGAACATGATATCTGGGGCATCACAAATGGATGGTGCTATTCTGGTTGTTGCGGCAACCGATGGTCAGATGCCACAGACCAGGGAACATTTGTTGTTGGCAAAACAAGTTGGCATTCAGCGAATTATTGTTTTCATCAATAAGGCTGATTTGGTCGATCAAGAAGTTTTGGAATTGGTGGAAATCGAAATGCGAGAAATGTTGACGGATTTCGGATTCGACGGTCTAAACACACCGGTTGTATGTGGTTCAGCATTGCTAGCTTTGCGCGATGACCCTTCACCATTTGGAGTTCCAGCAATAGAGAAACTACTCAATCACATTGATGCATATGTTCAAACGCCTAAAAGAGATATAGAATCGCCCTTCCAAATACCCATTGACAATGCCTTCACAGTGCCTGGACGGGGAACTGTCGTTGTAGGCACTATTAAACGGGGTACTGTCCACAAAAATGCCGAGTGTGATCTTCTGGGTTTCAATCAAAATATCAAAACCTCAGTTGGAGACATTCAAATATTCAGAAAGAGCGTTCCCAAAGTAAGTTTTTAGAAAATTGAAATTGGTTTGATAATGATTTGGAAAATAAGGCATGTGCATTGTGCTTAGGCTGTTGCGGGAGAAAATGTGGGCGTGTTGTTGCGAGGCGTCAAAATCTCCAGCGTAGAACGTGGCATGCTGCTTGCCCAGCAAGGATCCGAAGATATTTCCAACCATTTTCTTGCATCCATGTACTTGTTGTCGCGCAGTGAAGGTGGCCGCACCAAACCAATGCTGTCAAAATATATTCAACAACTGTTTAGTGTCACATGGAATGTTCCCGCCCGCATCGACATGAGTGAGTTTTATATCTTCTCTCTTGGACCGTTTTTAAAGCAATGTCAATTTTGCAGTTCCCCCCGATGGCATGTTAATGCCTGGTGACCACGCCAATGTAAGAATAATGTTATTGCGTAAAATGGTAATGACACCAGGACAGGCATTTACGATACGAGAAAATGGAGCCACTGTTGCCACTGGCATGATTCTGGAGCGTAAAGCCTCCGTTGACGTACCGAAAAATAAGCTATCCAAGGCTATGGTTAATGAGGAATGAGTCGAAAAATAAACCCAAACTTGATTTACACTATGAACAACGTTTTTCTGTTTTTATTCATCCATTTTTAAACAGTTTTGAATAGCTATTCGCTTTCATTTTCTTTAACTAATACCATAATAAATAGAATAATGTATATATTTACTATATATTGTTGTATATAAATAAGAATCGTGTATATATTGAATAATTTCATTTTAAAGTTTCATCAATGTTGTTAGACTGCAATATTTTTGCTGATCAAAATTATTTATCATTTTTTCTTTAAGTACTCGCTTATTGGTCTCTTAACAAAACAAGAAAAACAACACAAGTTGTACAAATGCATGTTGGCATTGATTACAGGGCACAGATACAAACAAAATCAAGGCAAGCTAAAATAGGAATTGAATGTTTACTATGGAATATTGCGGTTTAGAGTATTCTACAAATACGTTACGTACATAAATATATAAATTAGCTGACATTTTCTAAGGGTTAGTGTTAGTACTTTGCATATTTCATATCAGGTATCCATTGTTTCGTTTCGTTCTTTTACAAAGGCAATAAGGCAATTGTTGCATACAAATTTTGAGTTCCACTCATAAGGTATCCAATTACATCTACAATTTTTTTACGGAAGCACTTTACAAAGTATGGTTTTGGAATGTTGTGTTAAAAACAAAACAAAGTGTTTGAAATTTTTGTGTGTGTGTATAAATACTAACAAAACTAATAGGTGGTTTTAGGAATGTTTACGTTGCATGGGAACTACGGCCCAGATTTAATTAAATTTTTTGCAGCAAATCATCTAAGCCCAAGTGTTTTGGGATTTCAATTTCTTCCAACTTAATGTCGCTGTACTTGAAAACAACTTTGAAGGCATGTATAAATTTCTGATCCATGGTAAATTCGTCATTTTGAATCTGTGAAAGGAAATATTCAATGTTTAGAGTTTTTCTTTTAATGGAAAACAAATCGTAGAGACTTACCATATTACGAGCGTTAAGTTTCTCGGTTAGTTTTTCAAGGAACTTATTTGTAATTTCATTTTCATAGTCATCCAATTTATACGATTTCATTATCTAAAAGTCAATTGTAAATTAATGGTAATTTGAACATTTCAATTTATTTCGATGGACTCTTACCTTTAACACTTGGGCTGTATTCAAATGGGTACTCAGCTCGCAAATACTTTGAACATCATTTTCGCTTTTACGAGATTGCAATAATTGTGAAACTTGTTTTAGGGGAGCCAAAGGAGTTAGGACCTCATTGGGCTTGATGAAAGAAAAAGAAAAAAAAACATTTCCCTGTTATATACATCTGTATTTCTAACAACACCATATAACTTACCATTTTCTTGTCTCTCACCCAGTCCTCAATGTGACCCAGGTTGTATCGAATTATCATCCCAGTTTCCCACATGCAGATATCACCCCTGAGCATCAAACAATTCATTGCCACTGCACATATGAAATACATAATTTGATTAAATATTTGCTCTGAATAGCAACGATCCAGTCCAAAGTGGGTAAATTGTTTGTAGAAATGTTCCAACTGATGAATCAGTTGTTTCCAAGCGGCCATTTTGACATGTTCTGGCGAATTGTTATTCGACTGACTTCTGCCCAGTAAACCGGTCTGTGAGGGCCCGCGCTGTATCTCGTCATTGTCCAGAATTGCCGGAACTATATACGGCTCAAGCAATCCTTCAATTTGTCTTACCAGAGCCTCGTATAGTTTCATTATGATTTCCAAGATGACACGACGATATTCAAACAAATTGAAGTTCTTTAGCTGTTGTTGGTTTTGCTTATCCGTATTAAACTTCACATATTCCTCTACATCGCCGTATTGCTTAAGAAGATTCAGTAAACTGAAATATATGATTTTTAAATCTTCTCTGGCCATTCCAAAAAATATACCACACCATACTTACGTTATTGAGTTGACCAACCACAAAATGCGATACTCGGTCACATGGGCATTGCGATGTACTTTCTTGATTTGTTTTACAAATTTACTGAGTAGAGTTTGTACATCCTCATCCGCATTTATGAGATCCGTATAACTGCAAGATCAAAGTCATATAAAACCTAAAATAATTCCAATTTGTATAACCCTACCGTATACACATGAAAAGAACATAGGCTGGGAAGCCTGGCAAAAGGCCTATGGCCACTCTGGCTGTCATGTCGCTGACCAAACGTTGGAAAATTCTATCAATATCTTCACTGCGGAACTTCATTAGCCCTGGAATTATCACAAGAAACAGTGAACAGTGAGGAATTCAACAGAGAACTATTTTTCAAAATATTTATACCTTGATAATTTTTCGGTTTCTGTTTTCCCACAGCCACATCCGAATTGGTCATGGTAATACTGGAGACGGCATTGGTTATATTCGCCTCTTTGTTGGGAGAGACATGCTCCGAAATACCGTGTTCTTGAAGTCTTAGTGTTAATTTGTCGCTCTTGTGTTTCAAAGCTTCAAACTTCTTGATGAAAGCATTCAATTCTTCCTGTACTTGTGAGTATTGAAGCATGGACTTCTTAAGCTCGTGTTTCAAATAACGATTGGTTTGTTGCAAAACATTGGGATCGCTGGCATCCACCGTCTCGTCCACACCGCCCTGCAATACTTCCTGCAGTTGATTGTTCTCGTCACGCAAGTCTTCTATTTGACGTGTCAGCTCAGCAAAGTGGGCGTTATTCTCCTCTGTCAAGGCCCTCAGTTCCAATTCCAACTGTTTATTTACCATTTTTTGTGCTTGGAAAGCATCCATGAGTTCGTTATCCTGTAGACTATTTGTATCCGAGTTCCTCAACGAAAGGCTATCGTTGCCGAATGATTTCAAAGATTGCGTCTGTTGTTGGAGTACGGATTTTAGCTGAATACACTCTTCCCGTCGCCGTTTCAATTCTTCTTGCAAAGCACTGTGTTGGGCTTCCAGTTCGTGCATCTCAGCTCCATTGCGTATGCTCTGACGAAGTAGCTCGTAATCATGGCGCAATTTTTCATTTTCAACCTCGAGTTCGGACACGCGAAGCGAATCTTCGGTTGGCCTGTGCAAACCAATAGCTTTGTCCAGTTGACTCTTGATCGCCTTGTTGTACTTCTTTTCTTCCTCCAAGAGGTTGCGTAGTTTTATAAGGATCACGGTATTCTCGCTCTTAGGCGTTGAGGTCATATCCATATTGCGTCGGAATGCTTCCGGCGAAGTTCGGCTGACATCGTTCACATTTAGCGAGTGATTGTTCTTTTGATCTAAAAGATACTTGGTGGAGCCATATCCGGTATCATCTTCTGTATGGCTCGATGCATTGCTAATGGATCGTACATGATGCGACACTGGAGGAATATAGTCCCCAACTATGCCGGATTGTTTTTGCAGCAATTGCAGATCTAATTTCAAATGATAGTTTTCATTCTCCAAGATTTCTTTTTCTTTCAGGACTTTGCGATACACTTCGTGGATTTCGTTGTTGTCAATGTCGGTAATCACTCGGTCACGTTGATAGCCCGAATCAGCCAGCTTCAATCGTTCAGTCGTTTCTTCCAACTGCTTACGCAGATCTTCATTCTCCGTGGACAAAATCAGCTTCTGTTTGGTCCACTCCTCTTGATTGCGGGCATTCTCTTCTACCAGCTGCATTTTCTCATCTCTTTCTACTTCCAGTTGTTTGGTTAGAGACGCAATCTTTTCTTCTCTCTCGGCAGCAATGACCCTCAAGTTCTTCAAGTCATGTTCCAAGTTTTTCTTTGTTTCCAATTTAATTTTCAGTACCGATATCTCGCTGTTCTTGTGTTTTAGATGGCTATTTTCTTTATTCAAATCATCGATACGCTGTTGCATGGAAATAATCTTGTTCTCCAAACCCTTGTACAAATTCTGTATGTGGGAAATGGTTTTAGCCTCTGCTTTCAAAGCCTTAAATTGACGTTTCGCCAAAAATCTGCGCACCGCCGACTGGCAAATAATGATTTGCCTTCTGCGCTTGTGGTATGCTCTTCGAGCCAAATATCCCCGGACGAAGCGCTGAATTTGTACGGCACGATAGTGGTCCATGGCTTCTTGGAATCGACGTCGGGCCAGCATTCCTCTGGCATATTGCTGAATCCCACAGATAGATCTGCGCAAGCGCAAATAACGCCGGCGACACAGCCAACCTCGAGCATATTTCGATATAACTATGGCAGCACGGGCTTCACGCACAGCTTGAGCCTTCTTTCTGGCCAAATAGCCCCGTGCATAACGTTGAATTCCTAATGCAGTTCGTTGCAGTCGAAGGTAGCGGCGACGACAAATGAAACGACGTATAACACTTTGAATGGTAATTATGTATTTCTTTCGAAGATTAGCTCTTATCTGTTCCAAATAAGCCACTTGGCCGGCTCTGAAGAATATCTGAGTGTTGCCAAACCGATACTTGTCTTCATCCGTTATCCACTTTTGTACAATATTACGGCACGTCTGTTTGAGATCGTTTTTATTGATCAAGGATCGATGGCATAGCAGCTGATAGCGCATATAGAAGTCCATGTAAGACCAACGGGAGGGAAAACCCGCTGCAGAAATACGCACAGTCTCCAAAACACCACAAGCTCTCAGCTGCTGTACAATTTTGGGGGCATCCCATTTGAAGGCTACCTTGTCGTCGTTGGGCTGTAAAACATTGCATTGTAGTTTTATAATGAAAAAGCAAATGGAAATCATATACTTACTTTTATGCAGCGTACATAATGCGGAGTGGTGGCATGCAAAGTTGCAATAAGTGAGGATAAACTATCACGAAATTGTGAGCCCACAGATCGCCTATGCTGCTTCGATGGAGTAACCTAAAGTGAGAGATCGATTAGAAATTTGGCAAAAAAAAAGGCTTAACCTCTTGTTAGTGACAATCATTGCAATTATTATTACATATTTTAAAACATTTAGGGTGTATTAATTCTTTTCAAAACATGCTGCAGTATTAGATTGTTGTTAGTTAGGAAAAAAAATTTTTCCGAAATATTTGATGTTTCAAGCTGATTTGCCGTAAACCAAGTTATCAGTAAAGCATTGTTTCGTTAGTCATGTCAACACTATGTGCCTAAGAAACTTAGTTATGGTTAAACAACTCCTTGTTGTACATCTAATATCGAGTGTTAAATCAAAAACGAATTTTGTGTTAGTAATTGTGTTTAGATGCACCAAAACCATTCTTGCTCACGCATTTTTGCCAAGGTTTGTGGGAAATGCAGTGCAATTTATGTAATCTACATTGAAGCTATTTTGAATTACCACTAGAGGAAAAAATCAAAAGAAAATCACTAACTCTTCGTCTCGGTTCAGTGGCTACCTCGCCCTATTGTCAATGGGAAAAAGTAAAAATATATATTTGTTTCATTTATTAAATAAGAATCAATTTTGGAAACAAACGAAAAAAAAAATAAAACTCTTCATAAAAATTAAACGTATTCATACCTGTTTTCGAGCTGCACTTATAACAACACGACCGCCCAAGGTATGTGTTTTTGCAGCATCTGCACTCAGAGTATCGATTTCTTCCATTTCCATTAATTGCTTGCACAGAGACATCTTCGATGAACGCAAGACATTAACTAGTTCTTTGGAAACCGTGTCACGATTTTTCTCCAGGAATCCCATGACATCATATTCCACAGTATCGGAGAAATGTTTGACAGAAAAACCTTCAATCAAAAAAAAAAAAAAAAAACAATCGAAATTACAAAAGTAATTGCTACTCTAAACGAGGCAAACTTACTTGTATTTCCAAATCGGGGCTTTTCAAAATGTGAATATTTTGCACATTTTTCCACTAATTTCCTAGCCCAACTTTCATCCGATCCCTTGGGCATCTACATGTATGGTCATATGATACATAAATGTTATCCTTTGATATTGCCTTATTCACTTACCCTGCATTCTTCATCCAAAAGATCCAATACGCCCAACTTGGATTCGATCAAATCAATACATGGTTGATTGTCATAGAAATCTATCATGGTCCAACTTATACCCTCTTTCAAGTACTCTTCTTGTTCCAATTTGAAAACATGTTGATTGAATTGTTGTTGCAACTTCTCATTTGCGTAGTTGATGCAGAATTGTTCGAAGGAGTTGATCTCGAATGTCTCAAACCCATATATATCCAATACACCAATGAAGCAAGATTGTTTGCGGTCATTGTTTAAGCCTTTATTTATGACACTGACAATATATTGAAACAGTCGGGCGTATATGTGCTTGGCAAGGGCATCTCTGGCCGCCTCCGCTGTGGCAATATTAATTGGTATTAGTACTAGTTCGTTAACCGATTCAATTTGACGAGTTTTTAGCCATTTTCTCAATTCATCAGAGTTAATTTTCAATAATTCTCCAAGTACACGTAAATGTAAGTCATCATGCTGTAAGAATTTGCCATTAAATATACATCATAGAACCCTGAACGCCAACTTCCAATAACTTACGTATATTTCGCAGCCGTCGGGATCAATTTCCTCGGAATTCTTTTTTAATTTATGGCTAAACTTAACATTTCCCAAGTGCAAAATTGCTGCCAGAATATTCAAAATATCTGAAATCTAAAAAGAAAAAAGATAATTATAATATGTTTTTCCGGCCTTTAAGTTTAAGCTGGAAACGTGCTGATTTTATTTCAAAGAAATTTAACAAAATAAACGATCAATTGGATACTAACCTGTCTGGCGTCAAATCCCAAAATGTCCATAGCTTGTATAGTTTCTTTAAATTGATCCTTGTCAGAAACTTTATCAATATCAGGAGATTGACCCATGTTAAGGTATTTAAATTTATCCTGGTGATCTGAATTAACAAAAACGGAAATCATCGTAGCAATGTAATCGGCTAGCGATTTCTACTACTTACCCAAGATTAGCTCGGGATGATCGTTCCTAGCCGAACACAATTGATAAAAAATATGGTAATTACGCTCTCCCATGGCCTGAAAGACCACTCTCGACTTTTCCAAAAGATATGTATGCATTGTGGCGCCAGTTAAATGCATTACACCCATGTTATTCTTAAATAATAATTTTGTGAATTTTCCAAAACGAGAACTGTTGTCATTCCGTGTGGTCTTTGCGTTGCCGAAAGCCTCCATTATCGGCGAAGACGCCAACACCTTGCGTTCAACCTGAGTCTCCGACTCAGAACCGCCAACTGCAGCAAAATAACGCATAGCATATTTAGCCGACACTGTCTTACCGGCTCCAGATTCACCACTCACAATAATACTTAAATTGCATTTCTCCCTTTCTAGCCGGGTATAAGCCTCCTCGGATAATGCAAATATGTGTGGCTCCAACTCGCCCATGGAACGGCCGCGGTATGCTCTGATAATGTTTGATCCATACAGCGGCAGTTCTGCGTACGGGTTTATGGCCACTAAAATAATACCGCAATAGGTGTATATGATCTGTCGTTCACAAAACCGTACGCGAAGGTTGTGTAACACCCCTGGCTCATGGAGATACGACAGCGACGTCAAATCATTTTGTCCAATAAGAATTGCAGGATTTCGCAGTGGTGGCAAATCGCTGCCATCCTGCTTCACAGGTACATCAAGAAGTTTTCCGTTTTCGAGTTGTACTTTAAGGCTGGTTTTGCCTTTCTGATAATTTTCCTCCAATACTGCACTTTCCCATACTGTGTCCGAGTTTGGTAACCAAACTTTACATCCCTGAAATGGCAATGTAAACAAAAGAATGGTTAGTCATTGACAAAAACTTGACAAAATCATAGAAAAATATTGAAGGGAATGCGTCACCACTGATAAAGAGAACATTATTAAATATACTTTCAAATGGAAGACGGCAAACAATTACTACTACTACGTAGCTATGTCATCTTCAAAGGTTGCCAACAAACGCGCGCGCACACACACACCCAGGAACACGAACAAATCGAAATATAATCTATCAATAAGCATAGATCAGTGCTCATATTTCCAAGCTACCTTCACTGGGGTATGGGGTAACTGTTATTGTGGCGTGAATGGGATGAGATGTAAACCTATGGACATAGCTACAATTTATGTTGATGACAGTAACAATATTGATTTCAACTTGTTAGGCATTTCTAAAAATAATGGTAAATACGTTAGTACGGCGTGATTTTCGAAGTCATAATCAATCAATAGTCAGCCAGCACTAGCAGTTTCGTACCAATGTGAATGTGTGGCAAATTCTGTTTGTTTTCATTACCAACAACAACAGCCTTCCCAACAATAACAACAAACACTTAGCCGAATGCATTAAAGATAACAACAACGATACGATAATACTACGATGAAGATGAATCCATATAAATACCTTTGCATAAAGTTCTTCACTTGACATTATTTCCGAAAAGATTTTTGGAAACTGAGCTAATATCCCAACGCAACTTCTCCGGCATCAGTTGATTTTCCAAACAAACTATCCAAAACCATGAAAATGTGTGTTTGTTTGCCTTTTTGCTGTTACATTCTAAACTTTACACAATTTACTGTTACAACTGTTACATGTATTTTTTTCCTCAAATGTTGTTTGTAATCGCCGATTGGAGTTTATTGTACTACAAGGACTGTTAACACAATTTTTGATCGAAAATTCACAGAGATAATCACTCCGTTAACGGGAAATTTAACAGCAAAAAAAACGAAAATTTAGCTTTAAACTTTATGCGAGACAAGTTTCAATGAAAAATCTGACAGCCGTCTTCAACGTCAGCTACCGCTAAGATGCCAGACTGCTTAAGGTTGAGGTGTGGCCACATAGATTAAAAAATGTAGGTAGCCACATCAACTCATAGTATTGACAAAAACCGTATTTTTACCCGGTGGCTTACAACCAACATCAAAGGTGAAAATACATAAAACGCTTATTGGAATGGCTTAAGTTATTGGCTGGCTTCTTCGTAGATGAAAAAATTGTTTTATGTTGAATTAGTTCAATTCTGGCCATACGCTCCTTTATTATTTCCGAAGAAGTCAGCCGATGACTTAAGCCAGTTCAGAAAGCGTTTTATGTACTCTCAAGCTCAAATTTCTGACAAGCAATAGCTTTTCTACATGCAAAAATTTTCTTCGGATTTATTTGTTTAGTTCGGATTTACTGAACAAAATGTAAGTACGTTTACATACACATTTTACATTTATATCTGGGTAATCACGACATTAACACAAGACAAATTTTCTTGAATCATAGTTGTATTTTACTACCACATTTACACTTGCATTTTTTATTTATGAATGACTTTTTACCGCAAACTTAGTTTTATATATTCTTACACAACAAACAAACAACACTGTGATTCATGGCTCAACCAGAAAGGTTGCTCAACTTCTAGAAACTTTAAAAAATGCAACTCTATACTAGAAACTTATAGTTTCAAATAGACTTTTAAATATGCAACAATTAGTTTTGTTCATTTTACATGTTTAGCAAAATTCTTATATTGGGGAAAAACGTAAATCAAGAATGGATTGTTGGGTTTATTTAACAAAATTGTATTAAAAAAATAGTAGGACAATACATGGCTGAATAATTTTAATAATTTTGCCATGGGAAATTATAGCTTTATTCCAAAATTGTACATTCTTTTGCCCATTAACGTCGAAAATATGTTTTTTTGGAGCTGAATTTGTAATAATTAATTGTAATTTTTTATTCAAAAGAAATAAATATTGTATTTAGGATGTAGCTTTGTTCTACCTTGTGGAATTGTGCATGCAGTGATCGAAAAAGTGCATATGTACTTTACTCATATATTTTACAACTGAAATGTGGTCCATGTATAACACGATGAGTGCCTTTGAACTTTGTGTGCGTGTGTGATTGAAAAAATCAAAATTGGTGTTTAACTAATCCATGTCATTAAAATATTGCAGTGTAAACATAGCCTGTGTTAGATTGTTGTCGCCGTCAAATTGTGTTGTCCATTCAATACAACTCTGTGTATTACACTTTTTCGCGCCAATTCCAGGGCTTGTTTGTGAGTTTGTGAATTTTGTATTTGCATGCTTGCATGCAGTTCATTGTTTTGTTGACTTTTGTGGAATAAACATTGGTGTAATTGTTTTTCGTTGCGCAAAATAAATTTAAGAATTCGTTAACATGTCCAGTCCAGCTAGAACACCGAATAGCGCCATAACATCCAAGGGACAGAAAACCCCTACGCGCTGTAAGTTCCATACAAATGTTTCAAGGCATTTTTACAATTATTTCTATTACAGCTATAAATGCTCCTGATGCAGAAACTCCTATGCGGATGGGACCAAGACATGGCCAGGCATCCGACAATATCAGTTTGCCACCAACATCACCGGGTAATATTAGTTTGCCCGCCACAAGCCCTGCCCGAGGATTGGGAGCGAATATGAGTGAAATTGATTTATCATCTCCATTGAATTATGGTACACCAAGTTCAATGGGCTCGATACGAACGCCACGCTCAGGAATTCGTGGTACTCCTCTAAGAGCACGTCCTGATATACGAACTGATAAAAAGATGCGCCAAGTGGCCATCGGTGGAACGGGGGTAAGTGATGGCCACATCTTGGTTTTCTGAACTCATTTAAATTCTTTCTGTTTATAGCTGGAACCCATTCCCGAACGTCAGTCGGAAACTACTGATCCAGCATCAGAGGTGTCTTCGGCTCCTCAAATGGTAGTGTGGGGCACCAACGTTGTTGTAAGTCATTGCAAGACCAAATTCAAGCAATTCTTGCTACGCTACATCGATCCATTAGCCGAACAAGATGAAATATCGGAGAACACTGACGTTAACCAACCTTTGTATTTGCAAAAATTGGAAGAGATCCATACTTTGGAAGAACCATACTTAAATCTCAACTGTGCCCATTTGAAGACATTCGACGAGGCATTATATCGCCAGCTCATATGTTATCCTCAGGAAGTTATTCCCAGCTTTGATATGGCAGTTAACGAAATGTTTTTCGAACGCTATCCAGCTGCTATACTTGAGCATCAGATACAAGTTAGGCCTTTCAACGCTGACAAGACTCGCAACATGCGCTCTTTGAACCCTGAAGATATGGATCAGCTCATTAGTATCAGCGGTATGGTCATCAGAACATCGAATGTAATCCCCGAGATGAGGGAAGCGTTCTTTAAGTGTATTATTTGCGACTTTGTAACAACAGTAGAAGTTGATCGTGGTCGCATTGCCCAACCCACATTGTGTACAAACTGTAATACAAATCATTGCTTCCGCTTGGTACATAATCGTTCCGAATTCACTGATAAACAATTAATCAAGCTTCAGGAGTCCCCAGACGACATGGCTGCGGGCCAGACACCTCATAATGTGTTGCTTTATGCACACAATGACTTGGTCGATAAGGTGCAGCCTGGCGATCGTATAACCGTCACAGGTATTTATCGGGCTACTCCTATGAAAAACACAAGAACTGGATCGTCCGTAAAGAGTGTTTATAAGACACATATTGATGTTGTTCACTTCCGAAAAGTTGATAATAAAAGATTGTACGAGGAGGAAGAAGGGTAAGGAATAAAATGACTTGTGTAATTTTTAAATGGAATTTGTTAAAAATGTTAACGCATTGAATTGTAGAAAAGATCACATATTTCCCCCTGAAAGAGTTGAACTGCTGCATGCATTGTCACAAAAGCCCGATATTTATGATAGATTGTCTCGCGCAATTGCTCCTTCTATTTATGAAAATGATGACATCAAGAAGGGCATACTTTTGCAATTATTTGGTGGCACAAAAAAGAAGCATTCCACCATGGGAAGGCAAAACTTTAGATCAGAAATCCATTTGCTGCTGTGTGGTGATCCGGGTACATCCAAGTCACAATTATTGCAATATGTCTTCAATTTGGTGCCCCGTTCTCAGTACACATCTGGCCGAGGTTCATCTGCCGTAGGCTTAACTGCATATGTAACAAAAGATCCTGAAACCAGGCAACTAGTACTGCAAACGTAAGTAAAAGCTGGTTATTAACTAAACTTGTATTTTTGGAATAAATATCTAATCATTTCTGTACCTTGTATTAGTGGTGCCTTGGTTCTCGCAGATAATGGAGTATGCTGCATTGATGAATTTGATAAGATGAACGACGCTACCCGCAGCGTATTGCATGAAGTCATGGAACAACAAACTTTAAGTATTGCCAAAGCGGGCATTATCTGTCAATTGAATGCTCGAACATCTATATTGGCTGCAGCTAATCCAGCCGAATCCCAGTGGAATAAAAAGAAAAACATTATTGACAATGTTCATTTGCCACACACATTGCTTTCGCGTTTTGACCTAATCTTTTTGGTGTTAGATCCTCAAGATGAAGTTTTTGATAGGCGTTTGGCTGGACATTTGGTTTCGCTGTACTATGTTACCCGCCATGAGGAGGAGGACACGATGTTTGTAAGTTCACCATTTCACTTCGTTTTATTTCGATCGATCTAATAACATTTTACTTGGTATAGGATATGAGTGTTTTAAGGGACTATATAGCATATGCCAGAGAACACATTTCACCCACTTTATCGGAAGAAGCTCAACAACGTCTTATACAGGCCTACGTTGATATGCGCAAAGTTGGAGCTGGTCGTGGTCAGATTTCTGCATACCCGAGACAGCTTGAAAGTTTAATTCGACTTTCCGAAGCACATGCTAAAGTACGTTTAAGTCAACAAGTTACGGTACAAGACGTTGAAGAAGCTTGGCGTCTACATCGTGAAGCATTGAAACAGTCAGCCACTGATCCTTTATCAGGAAAAATAGATGTGGGCATTCTAACCACTGGCCTGTCCACTGCGGCCCGTAAGAAACGTGCTGATTTGGTGGCGTCAATAAAAGAGAATCTTCAGAAGAAGGGCAAAATACCAACAGTACCATATCAGAAACTATTTAAGGAAATCAAAGAATCTTCACAAATTGTAAGATGTTTTTTGTTGTTTTTTTTTTTTTGGTGATCAGTTCTAATTTAAATAAATTTGTCTTTCAGCTTATCACACGAGAGCAATTTGAGGATGCCCTTAAGGAAATACAAGACGAAGGCGTCATTGTGGTCATGGGCAAAAATACCATTCGTATATGTTAAGTTTTCTGGAAACCATTGTTTTTTATATTTTTCTACCATATTAATCGTTAACTTCAATAAATTTTTTAAAACCTTCTCTACATGTTGTATACATGTGTATTTAATTGTTATTTATCTCTGTGTCTCTGCCATGATGAAGTTCGTCTTAAATTTATGGTTATTTCGTTTTATAAACAAGTTTATTTGAGTCCACATATTTAAATTGCATAGTCAATGTACCAATATAGCAAGAGCGCTACTCGTCTTTTCTTACAATCCGTCTTTCCCTGTAAAATATTTTATATTCTTGCACATTGCCAAATATGGCTAGTAGGAGCCAATAATTCTGCAAGTATTTACTTGGCTAACCGATATGGGGAACGATTTAAGGGAACACAGCTGCTGTCTATGTATTCGTTTACTGTCGCCGTTAAAAATAATTTAGTCGGCATCAATCTCCAAGACTAATTGCACGCATGCGCAGTGTATACATATTTTATGAATTTTGTTTATAATGCGCAGATATCAACCGGAGTATGTATCGTCCCCAACGGCAGAACCAGACTCCGATAGCAATTCCGAGGATGAATCTTATAGTAATTCATACAGTGATAGCGAATTCGCCAACTGGGAACAATACGTGTGTGAAGATGGATCATTGTTTTATGTCGAATACATACCGATAGATATGTTTAAGACTACAACTGCAACAGTCGGTGCAACAGGTGATGGCAAGGTAGAATTCCAGAGGGATCTACCCTCAAGGAGTGGCAAAAAGACCAGTCGAAGGCCAAATAAAGAAGACGATCAGACGACGTCTACGAAAGGAGCAAATGGCCAGATATTATTTAACAACATCAATACCAGCGACGACAACTGCAAAATCCTGGAACTAGTTATAACAGCTGCAGATCGATACCGTTTTGGTCGTCGCTCAACGGCAGTGGAGTCCATATTGGGGTTCAGCGTAGTACCCTTCGTTGATAAACCGGAATGTCTAATGGTAGATGCCTTTATTCATGATATGCCGGAATTCTTCCAGCAGGGCAAACACATTCCCATAGGTAGGGGAGATTGGTTCAAATCCTTGGATAACATTGAAATTCGAGCCAGCAATATTGATGACTTGTTGTTGCAGTTTGACGAACCGACAAACGTTTGCCTTAAGTTCCAGGGCCAAAAAACCGCGCCTTCCGCTGTGGATCAAACAAAGGGTGCAGAGAATAGCGGGCAACAATTCTCCAAGATAGAAAATTACTCACAATTCGCCCAACAATTTGAACAACTGCTAAAATCTGTTGAAAATACACCAACAATGCCATTTGGATTGTTAATTTTACCACCGGAATGCTACCAAAATGACGAACATAAAAAATCGCTTTATTATTATCCGGAAGACCCCGACAATTTTCTCTACAAGGGTCGTGGAAGCTTCCTTACGCTCAGCACGGTCCTTACAGAAGAGTTGAAGACTAAACCGCTTGCGTCCGAATTGTCCTTCAACGACGAGGATTATATTGTGTTTTATCGCAAGATGAATGGCTTCCTTGTGTTGTTTTCTTATCTGGCCTCAATGGTAACACTACCGGAAGGTAATCTACGCGCCGACGAACTTCTGACCTATATTTCTTTTATGCAACCAAAAATGAGCTTGGACAGTTTTAAAGATGCCTCATTTCTGCAATTTATGAACAATTTCTGCAACATCCAACGCACACGTTTGTTGTGTCAAAAAGACCGGCAGCGAGGTGAATTCCCCTTGGAGGAAGCTTTAAAAGAGTCACGGCATCTACCGCTACCAAAAGAGGCACAACTGCGCGTTTTCGATGCCCTCAGCGAAATGGAAGCCATGGACTACCGCAACTGGAATGATGAACCTCTCAATACACACCGAGAATTCTTTATTTACGGAAGCGCACTCTACTATGACAGTTTTATGCTAACTTCACAAATGCCCTTGGAAATGCGACTCTATATGGAGACATATCTTCGTTGCCGTGGTGTTTTGGAATTCGTAACCAAACATGGCACAAAGGAGCTATATATTTGGGAAGAGGTGATGCTTCCGGATATGAGCGATAGACACTTTTTGGCAGTTTGTGGCAGAGGTCATTTGATTTTAACCGTTATTTTAAAGCTATTTTGTCCTCCCGATTTTGATGCCAACTCTAAAGTGCTCCCATCTCTTTTCTATATTGAAGAGATCCAGGAAACACTAGACCATTTACTGCAGTGTGGAATCGAGTCGCTCGCTATGTTCTGGGCAGTTTCAAACAAGCGCCCTGAAATAAATAACTGTTTTGTTGATGGCAAAATAATGGAGTCAGGCAAAGAGGGAAAGAGAAGCGATTTAACATTAATGCGGACCAAATCAGCGTCCACATCAGCCAGTGTAAGTCACATGCAACGCAGCGTGCACTATGAAGAAGATACGCAGCTGTGTTCATCGTTGGGCGGCTCTTCGGTGCACAGTCTGACACCAAGTGAAGATGACTCCAGCAAGAAACGTCTCATATCGAATGCAGACGACAGCGACAGTGGATCTGATTGGGAAAATTTCATGGAAGAAAATATTCTGCGTGGTGCTATCGACGCAGAACTTCAATCCCAAGTCACCGAGTCTTTGTGGAAGGAAATAAGTAATGTCGTGCCCATAAATATTTCTTCGGGTTGCATCAACAACATTTACTATTACATTTATGTGGACGTTACCAACTGCACATCATTTTCTCCATTGAAATCGGCCAAGGATGCGGCCCCCTTTGCCCGGGAAATGCATTTGGCATTTCACATGATACGCAAAGTCCTGCAGCCGACGAGGCACAGACGAGATTTACAAAGGAATCAAAATGTTCGAGATGCCATTATCCCGGTCAAAGAACACGGCATGACAATGGAAGTGGTTGACAAAAATTCATTGGAGAAGTATAAGTTTGCGGTAATAGGTCGTTTGTTTTTGTCACCGCCAAGAGAGGTTTACATTTGCCACAGACCCGATATGCCCGCAAATATGGTGGAGTTGGCATTCAGATTGTCTTTCTTTTCATCGGGTTGATTTAGTATTCTTTTTTTCCACTAATTTTATACAAATGTGCAAGAATTTTATATCAAAGTAAATGTAATAAATAAATGGAAAATCAAAAAAAAAAAAAAAAAAAAAAAAAAAAAAACATTGAAAGATTGTTCAAAATTGCTTTGTCCCAAGATCTGTTAGTTTTGAATTTATTTCAATATATAAAGGAAAAATCGGTTCAAGTAGTAACAACTTTGTGAGAATAAAATTGATGGTAGAAAAAACTGGGGTTTAACTCTAATTCTCGACATTTAGCCATTTTTATTGAAATTTTCAATTTAATCATTCCAAAATAGAAATAGATATATCAAAATACATTTCGATCGTAATTGTTCCGATATTGTATGAAATAATTTGCCCCTGCTTTAATTGCCCTAGTATGAACCACTAAAAGTAACTAGTTCTGGGGCTCTTTTTTATGAATCATTCAATTGAAGTGGCTTATTTGAACTACGAAACACTATTCTTTGAATACGAGAGAAGAACAAGAATACAATTTGATTTGGAGAGGCGTCGAGTGGAAAAACATTTCTGAAAAAATTCAACATCTTATAAACAAAATGATTATTTGCGGAAATATTTATTTGGATGAAATAAAAAAGACATTTATTTTGAAATGTGTTATCTGCGAAAAGAAGTCCAAAGCATACACCGAATTTACAAAGCATATAAAGAAGAAGCACAAATCTCTTGATGGCACTGAAGCTCCGCTGGATAACAAGGAAGATGAACAGAAATGCAGTCTCCAAAACTTACTATCCGAGGATTTTATACCGTCACCAAATATTGTTAAGCTGGAAGAAGATGTCTTGGACACGGACAATGAAGATGAGAAACCTCTTCTGCAAATAAAGCATGAAATGGAATTTGTGGAAGAGGTGCCAAATGAAACGAAATTTGCTATCGAAACCGTGACCGAGGTAAGATACTAAATTCACACAACTTCCCATAGAAGATTTACTAAGTTTGGTTTTGATAGGGTGAACCTGTTATGGATCCGGTGGCAGTACTGGAGGATAATGAAATCTTAGAATTTCCGGAGACAATGGACGATGATGTTAAGGATGAAGATTATGTTCCAGACAATGAATCCGAAGACGACATGGAAAACTATGAGGTGGATGTTGATGAGGATGGTGGATCTGAATCGGACAATGAGGAAATACCAGCGGTTACCGATAAGGTAATGTTGTACTCAGTATTGGACCATGGAACTTGTTATTAACTTTAAAATGATCTTCCACACAGTTTATTCCAACATTTTTCCGTAAAAATCGTTTTTTGAGCGATTTTTTGGATTTCTACAAAAGCCAACCTGTGCTCTGGGATGTTAATCATCCAGACTTCGAAAACGCAACGGTGCGAAAAGAGGCAATGAAGGCCATCATGTTTGCCATGCAAAAGTTCAACATATTTATGAAACCATCTGCACTAAACCGTGCACTCAATAGTGTTCACAAATATTGTGCTATAATTAAGTTCCAGTTGGAGTCTCAAGTTCAGAAAAAAATACCTGAAGTTACAATGGCTTATTATAAGAAATGTGACTTTCTCCAAGAGTTATTGATTAAGAAAAACATCACAGGAGATCAATTTATTCCAAAGGGTGTAAGTAACTATTGGAAACATAATGCATTTTTTTAAGAGATATATATTTTTTTCGTATTCAGAAACCATTGAAATTAAAGGAATGGGATGAAACTACGGCAAACTTCATTGATATTTACGGAACATTCCCAATACTTTACAATGGCGACCATCCATTATATGGCGATGTTGATGGTCGACAAAAGGCTTTAGAGGAATTTTCGGAAATTCTCAAAAACCGGCATAACATTGATTTCAATGTGGATACGATAACATCCGCTATGGAGCAATTGCAATCCTGGTACTATAAGCTCAAACAACGCAGAGTTAATCAAAATTGTAAATTGAGTAAAATGGATGAAAAATATTATAAGAAATGTAGCAGTTTTATGCCCATTGAGCGTCCGCGGTATCGCTTTGTATGTAACGTATGCAAGAAAAATTTCAACCTGCGGCACAATCTCCAGACACATCTTTACAAAATTCATCGGTTGGGGGATTTACCATTTGGATGCGATCAATGTGAAAGGAGATTTGAATCGAAGTTTGCCCTGCATTGCCATGTCCAGCGAATACATGTTGGCAAGACATATGCATGTAAATTTTGCGATAAAAAGTTTGCCATTGCTTCAGAACTGAGAATACACAGCACGATCCATTCGACCGAGAAACCACATGTCTGTGAGTTATGTGGCAAATCTTTCCGACTGAAAACTCAACTGGGCTACCATGTCACCGCTATACACACAAAGATACGAGCATTTAAGTGTACCATGTGTCCAAAGGACTTTCTTAAGAAGCGGGACTTGACCGACCACATAAAATCGCATCTTAATATAAGGGACAAAATATGCGAGACCTGCGGCAAAGGGTTCTCCAACTGCCACTCGTTGATACGGCATCGACAGATTCACTCAGAAGTGAAGAAATTCGCGTGTAAATTATGTGATGCGAAATTTCATCAATTTGTTGGTCTGAATGGTCACATGAAACGAACCCACAATATTGTAAAGAAACCAGCTTAAGTATTTTTTAAGTAATAATTTATTATTTTATGTATTTTCGGATAGCAAAGTAAAGAATAGTAATAAAGTATAATAGAGAAAAAAAAAGATAAAAAATATTTTCTTAAAAATAAAGGAATATATGTACTGAAATCATATGTACTTTCATGGTATAAAGCTACATTCTAAACCGAATTTTTTTCTTTTGGTACCCTTATTCGGTTAAGATATATACACAGATTGTATATTGCAATTTGAAATCATTTCGAACTCAGTTGTAAGAAAACTTCATCATTCACCGATATTGTCCATCTGCCTTGGGTACACTTTTGTGGAAAAACTCCATATCCCATTCATGTTGTGTGTTTTTGCCAAATTTTCGGAATTTTTAAAACAAATTGTAAACAAAACCAATTTTTGCATTTAGAAGTCTTTTACGCATTAAGATCTGTTCATGGTAGAAGAATATAGGTAGACGCGTCGACACAGCTGCTGGGACAATGAACTGTCAAACCAATTTTGGAATTGAAAATGTTGAATGAAAAATTATTTAAATTTGTAAAAATTGTTGAAAAACGCGAATTATAATAGCCTCCGAATGACGTAGTATAAGAAAACATAAAAAATCTACTTAGAAAAAACATTTAAATTTTTTTGACTTATTAATGCTCCTAAGCGTTGATGCATCTACCTGTATTCTTCTGCCATGATTCTGTTATAGAGTTAAAATTACCGTAACTGAACTAATATCATGCTAAGGGACTTCAATGTGAACGTAGTGTTAGAAACTTCTATTATCTTTAACATGTTATCGATTTCAAGTGAATGGTCTTTAAGAAGAAGTGGGTGGTTTGTGGTTGTTCAAACTCCAGCCGGTGGTTTCCATACGAAAAACAACAAATCCTGGCCATAAGTAGTTTTTAATGGATCCATTTAATTACCTATTTCACATTTTAACTATATTCGTTGGTGGTTCTTTACTTTTTCTTGTTGGATTTTTTCCCGTCTCACGAAATCTTACTGTGGGAAATAACTATGGAAACTCCTCGGCACTATCTCTACTTGATAAGAAGTGAGTTAAAACGTGAACACTTGAAAATGATATCATTAAATTTGCTTCCTATTACAGGCTTCCAGAGCCGGCCGTCAAACATGAGCAGATCATTTTAATGATAATTGATGCCTGGCGCTGGGATTTTGCCAATTCCAGCAATATGCCATATTCCTCCGAAAATGCTTGCAATCACATTAACATTAAAGTCGATGTACCAACAGTGACTATGCCTCGTCTGAAAAGCATTACGACTGGTACGGTTTCAAATTTTATTGATATAGTACTAAATCTGGGACATACAGAAAAGTTGGCCGATTCTCTATTGCACAGGGCCCGGGCAAAAGGTAAAAATATTGTATTCTCTGGAGATAGGGCATGGGTGCAATTGTTTCCCAATTTATTTCTAAGACAAAAACCAAACATGGATTCATTTTTTGTCAATGACTTTTATGAGGTAACGTTCCGATAGATTGAATTTCTACGAATGCAAGATGAATGGATGTGCTGCTAATTCTTTTATTTTTAGGGTGACAAAAATATTACGGCAAATATTCGAGATGAACTTCCAAGAAAGGACTGGCAGCTAATGATATTACATTACTTGGGACTAGATCACATCGGTCATGTTGAGGGATCCCACAGCCATAAGATTTTTGAAAAACTTCATGAAATGGATGATGTCATAAAGTACATTACCACTAGTCCAGTAAGATACATCTTTACATGAAACCGCAATGTGCAGGTGGTATTAAATATATGCCTTATTTTTGCAGCAATTTCAAAATTCGGTTTTGTTGGTAACTGGAGATCATGGTATGCGCAATGGCGGAAGTCATGGCGGTAGTGATGAAGAGGAGTTATATGTACCCTTAATGTTGTTCTCCGATAAATGTACAAAGCGAAAGTAAGATAAGTTAACTTATAACAATCCCATTTATAACCACCATAGTTATCTACTATCTTTAGCCGAACTGTGGATTACAATCAAATCGATATGACTCCAACGATGGCTGTGTTGCTGGGTGTTGACATTCCTTTCACATCTGTGGGTTGTTTAATATCCGATTTTATGGACGATTTTTCAAAGGAAGAACAATTGTATTACTATTACTACAACGCTTTACATCTCATAGAAAAATTTAGAAGAAAATATAGTTTAAGTCAAATCAAAGCTCAAGGTAATATCAGTGCAATACAGTAATGAGATCTAAACATTCCTTTAATTCTCTCTCTTATGTAGGATTTTCCGACTACTACTTTTGGCTAACCGAGGCTGAAATGGAGCACAAGCTGTATTTGGAAAGTAATCTGACAAGTTTCCTAGCCTATGAAAAGGCAAAAAAGAATTACATTCGACTATCTAAGAATATTTCAAAGCTACTGTCGGACAGCTCGGTTAAGTATGACAACGACTTGATATTTATTTCGTTAGTTTTAACAACAACGGTAAGTTGGGCAATTGTTTCAATCGTATACCTATAATTATATATAATTAGGTTTTTTTTCTTTTTTAGACGGCAATACATCTTCTAACGAAAGTTCTCTTCGGCACCAAGGACAATTTGAAAAAGTGGCAGCAATTTTCTTCTGGGCGTTTATTTTTTAGCATCGTTGTGGCTCTTGCCATAAATTGCATAGCACATTTTCTCGAGTTTATCTACTCGAGACACTTTATCTATTCAGCGGTGCTTACAGTTCCTATAGCCATAAGCATTTACTTGGCAATTGAAATATTTCTGTTGGTTGTACAAATACTCATACCAATGTCGTATGACCGTAAATGTTACTTCAAGCTCACCATTCCTTGGATGCTGTTCGCCTTCTTTATTTTTCATACATTTTCGTTGGCATCCTCATCATTGATAGAGGAAGAACACCAGACGTGGTATTACCTGACACCAACCATACTGATTTATCTGACAGCTCAAAATGTCTACTATGGTATACGGAAAATGTGGAAATTGGAAAACAATCTGAACATTATAGGCTCAGAGCTATGGAAAATGCGGTACGTTATTCTAGCTCTGTTGACAATTGTCTTCTGTCGTCGTCTCAATCAAACTGGTGACAAATGGCGGCATTTGGAGGACATAGGTATGTCAAGCGTAAGCACTATTTGTAATGAGCTTGCTCGATCGTGTTTTTTATTTCAGGTGATATTTTATCTAAAGAACACAACCACCACTATCGTTTACTGGTCCTTGCATTAGGTAAGCAGCGTAAGATTAATAACAAAATTACTTATTTTCAAAGCTCTTCATCTTTCTTTTATAGCATTAATTTGTCTTCTTCTCTCCCTGAGAAAGTTCAATACAAACGCTCTGCAAACGCTTACTTGTAGTACGGCCCTCGTTTGCGTTTTTATATATCGGGAGTGGAGTCAATCGAGCACTCTAGTATTATTGGTGTTCTGGCTAAGTGTGTCTGCTACTGCTTTAATCAGTTATCGTATAGTTATATGGAAACCAAAACACTATGGCTATGGCGCTAAAAGCAACCTTGTGGATCTGTTGGGCTCCAATTTGACCATAAGTCTGTTGATCTCAGCTCTCTTACACAAACCTCACAATGTTGTTCTGCTGCCAGCCTTGTTGCTTTGTCTAGAGAGCAGTTACTATTTGTGCGACAAATTGCATTTGTACAATAGGAAATTGTACAATCGTTGTTACGTACTAGTATACAAGGCAGTTATAACTATTTTCTTAGGGAATATGTTTTACTTCTTTCAGGTAAGTGTGGCCCATTCAACGATTTGTATGATTTAATGAAACATGTATATATTTAAATGATTATTTTTAGGGTAATTCCAATAGCCTTTCAACTATCGATATAAACCCTGGCTATATTGGCTTGTCCTCCTATAATCCCTTTGTAGTTGGCGTAATGATTACATTTAACACCTATTGTGCCCCCATAAGTGCATTCCTTTATTTAATGTGGCACATGTTTGTTACCAAAAAGAGTAGTTTGCCTCTGCGCCAAGAAAAAGAGCAAGTCTCAAATGCGCAACTGCTTGAAAGTACGGAGGAAGATCTATACCTAGTCATAAGTTTGTTCGCGGCCACCACGGTAATGCCGGTGGCTGTGTACTGGCTGTTGTTGATGGGCTTTCGCTATCATCTTTTTATTTATTCAGTATTTGCACCAAAGGCCTTTTATGAATGTTTTCGTATTTTTGTATTTTATTTAAATTTTATTGTAACAAATTTGTACTTCAGGTTATTCCAATAAAACTTTAAACCGAAACTAAAAAAGTGATGAATTCAATAAATAAATATTATAGTTTGGGGATAAAAAAATAGTGAATATATCGAGTAAGGAGATGAGCCAAAGAAACAATACTGGCAATAATGCGGATATCTGGTTTAAAAATAAAATTCAAATAAACAGCTGTTGAGCCATAAACCAGGGAAATAAAATGGGATTCTGATCAGTTTGTATTGTTAACCTTTAAGGCGTAGTGTATGTCATCCATACTGACGTTGAGTAGAATTTTTTGGAAAACATCATTCCGAGAATGTTCACAAATAAGCAAACGCTCCGAACCCAGTTTGGCGCAGATACGTAAAGCCCGACCAGGTGTTGGTGTAGCGGCCCCCATGAAAGCGGCAATGGTTTCAATTTGTGTATAAACACCCATGAATGAGGTTTCTTCGACCCCTGTACGAGTTACTTCTGCGACCACAGCTTGCAAGAAAATCTGTTCCAACCGTGAACAGTTCTTGATTGCCTGGACTTTGGCACTTGAAATCATTTCGTTGAGGGCTTGCTGCACATGTAACATATTAACACATTGTTGAGTATCCTTGGAGCCCTTCTCCGCCGCTTTAGACGCGGCGGCGTCTGCAATTTCTGTAGCCCTACGACAAATATCTAAAGCTCTACGTGCGTCGCCGGATACCGCAGCAACTTTTCTAGAAAAATAAGAGTATGTTTCAAAAAATTTATCTCGCATAGTACACTTTAGTATATTTACCTCGCAACCAACTGTACAGCATCGCCCTTAAACGCTTCGGAACCCTGTAAACGACCTGTTACGATCTCCTGCAGCTGTTTGTGAGTATAGGGTTGGAAGGTCAAACGTGTCAAACCCAAACGTGATGTCACCTTTCCCATTAGCAAACGTTCTGGCAGATCCATAGTATTGGCTATAGTTACCACAACTAGACGGGCTGCAGACTTGGTTGGCCAATCTAGCAGATTATATACTACGTCCTGTCGCCGGTTACACAATATATCCAATTCATCTACTAGTAAAACGGTTGTAACACGTCTCGGAGCGGGTGTGGTGAATCTTTTCTCTAACAAAGCATGGGCATGTTCCCACGAAACTGTTTTCCCAGTTAGCTGCCGATATATATGCACGTACGCTTGGCGGGGTTCTGTTAAACGCATTCCATTTATTTCCAAAAAATCAAATGGCGGCAAATCATCTTCAGCCACTCTCTGCTGTAGCATTCGTATAACACCCGTGACGGTGGCGGTTTTTCCAGTACCCGGCACTCCAGACACATACATACAACCCCCGCATTGATCTTGAATTTTGCCTTCCAGGAAAGTGTAAATGTTATCAAATTCCTTCTCGCGACAGGGTAAACTTTTGGGCACTACAGAGACGTGCAATCGCTCACGAGCTATTTGCAAATCAGTTTTCCCTTTTTCAGAGCCAGCTAAAGAGTCGCGCTTTTCCAAGGTAGGTTTGATTTCTCCCGATCGTATCATTTTAAGTTTCTGTGAGGGCGTTTTAGGTGTTGCTGGAGCTTCAGTGGCCTTGGTTGTGCTTCTTCGTCCTTTCGAAGGTGTTTTCTGTGTGGTCTTCTTGGGTGTGTATTCCTCATCATCCTCCGTAGTTTTGACATTATCGACCACAGGTAGTGCTATGCTTTTCCTGGCCTTGGAACGTTTTGGTGTGTTTATTATATCATCATCGTTGAAAACCCTCTGCTCAACAATGCTGGACAGCTGTATGCTCCTTCTGGGTGTACCTTCAGCTGTAATATAAAAAGGGGACCTTGTATGGATATGAATTAAAAATTAACATTTCATATTATACCATACCTAATCTAGTAGTGGCCGATTTAAGTATACTCTTTCGGCGGTTTTGCGATGGAGTACCCTCTGCTGTCGTTTCTTTGGCCTTTTTTGTCGGAGTGTGGTAAATATCATCCGCATTTTGAACCTTTTTTTGGGCTTCACTTTTCTTCCTAGCTGATGGTGTACTTTCGGAAGCAAGCTTGGATTTTCTAGAAGGGGTCTGCGGCTGGGAGTCTTTATGTTTAACCTCTCTCAATTCGGATTCTAATTCGGGACGTATGGCCAAGGGATCTTCTTCCATCGAGGATAATCGTGTGGATCGTCTCCTAAAAGGAAGAGCAAATAAAAATGTAAACAGGTCAAGACGAAAGAATTTCAGTATTACCTCTCTGACAACCTTAGCTTTATCTTCATCTCATTTGGAGGGTCCGTTCGATCTGGTGTCCCTTTTACAATTGAGTAGTTTAGACAGTCAGAGTCTGCTGTAGTATCAGCTCCATTATCCAAACTAAGATTAAGGTTTCTCTTTGCGGCAGCTGCTCTGGATCTGGGTGTGACTTTAATATTCTGTTCTGCCAATGGGGAAGCTGGCAAGTAGTTGGCATTTATTTCATCTTCCCCTTTGTACTTTTCACCTGTTGACTGTTTCTTTTTGGCCGAAAGGCGGACAACACTTCGCCCACCAATAATTTTAATTGGAGATACTTTGTTTTCTTCATTGAAATAAGCAAGGTCTACGAACTCCAGAGGGTTGTTGGCACTAACAGAGGAGCGTCTTTTTCGGCCTTCGTCACTTGTGGCACAGGAACGCCTAGGTTTTTTGGCTGATGAAGCCTTAGATTCTGTTGGTATAGCTGCCGTCGATCTTCTTCGACCACGTTCTCCAGCCGCTGCTACATCTTCATTGGAGAACTGCAGAGGCTCAAGGCGGTACGAATTCTTAACTTTAATAAATTTATAACGGCACACAAACATTGGACAATTTGTGCGTTTAGCGTTAAATCCTTGCAAAAGGCCAGCAGCGGAATTTTCCGATGAACCACAAATAACACTGCATTTACGATGAATCGTTTCTAAAGAAATGTCTGCGTCATACGGTCTGTGTTCCTCAATAACCTCGGCATTAAAATCAATACAAATTGTGTCATCATCGAAGTGCTTGTGTGGAATACACTCCGGACGTGAATACCATTGAACTACAGCCCGACACGGATCCTTATCCGGGAGTACTTCCCTCAGCTCGTACAGATAGAGAATTTTGGCGATGTCACAGCCCTCTTCAGTGTCTGGAAAGGCGGAATCAGCATTAGACACTAGGACAAAGTCTCCCACACTTAAAGTGAGCGGTCCGATAATACACTTGGCGTAAAAATAAACGTTTTTGTGTTGCAAATGATCGACAGTAACAAGTGGATCGTGCGCTCCAATCCATTTAACAATGGGAGCATTCGCTGCTTCGATTTGCTTTAACACCATTTTTTAGTGGATACCAATAAAAAAACAGTGTACTAAATTAAATTTAAAAGCTAAGCAAATTTTACTCTGCTTGATCGGTGGTTATTTAGTTATTTATTTGTGAAACTTCAGCGTGTTTTCAGACTTCTACTTCTTTCGTTTTTTCAGGCAGAGACACAATCAACATCTGCTTTGTGTTGGAATGCGATGTTTGTTTGTTTGTGTGTGCAATTTCGCGCCAAAACAACGTCGTTGCGTGTTAAGTGGTGTACACACTATCAATTACATTTCTTAACAATAGGTTTACATTGGCGATCACATAGCAAGTGTCTATCTGTCAATCTGAGAAACGCGTTTTATAAAAATCTCTGTTTTGAATAAAAATAAGCAAATTAAATCATTACAATGAAGAGAAGGTAGGTCAACTTTGAAAAAATTGCAAGTATAGAGGTCTACATATTTGGCTTGTAATGTCAGAATTAGTATCAAAACAATAAAAAATCAAACAACTTGTTGCATTTATTTTGAATAAATAATTAAAAAACGCGATAACTAAATGAAAGGTCAACACTTAAAATCATATTCTATATATTTCTAAAGGATTATTTCGCTACAAAAACTCTAGATTTTGTCGATGCATACGTTGAAATAAACATTTTGAAACACCCGAATTTGAATATTTTCTGAACAATTTTTTTGTTATTGAAAAGAAAACACATACATAAACAAATAAAAATGACATATTAAGCCAAGAATATAAAAAAAATACCTATCAATTTAATGTATGTTTTTTTTTATAGTCGAATTAATTGTGAATGGTCATTTGTCAGAGTTAACTCGAATAAAGATTTGCATGTCATATCTTTATTTTATCGATTTCTCTCTGTGCTGTCTATCTTTTCAGTGTTGCCATATTGTAGTGTCCTTTGTTCGTTACTTCACTTTTTTTCTTTTCTCGGTGGCGTCGGTTGGTTATTCATTCAATTGATTTAATTTATTAATTATTTAATTTCGTATAAAAATATAAATATAAATATCATAAATATCTAGAAACAAATAGAACAAATGTGAATATGTGTGATTTGGGATTGTGCGTGATTTAAAAAACTAAAAAAAACAATAAAACAAACCCGACCGCCAACATAACCTCCAATGCGTGGATAAAAAAACAATTAATGGATTAATGGTCCATGGGCCATATATGTGTCTCCAGCAACTCGATGATATTTTTTCCAGCTGTATTTATTTGTACCCTGATTCCAGGAAAGTATTACTCCAAACGCCCCAAAAGACGGGTTTTAATCCCGGGTTAGGTTATCGGAAATTGGAAATTTGTGAAGGAGAAGGGTAATTTGCGTTTTTTAACGGGCAAAAGGAACAAACAAGAAGACCCATAATTCCTTTTGATGATCTGCATAGAATCACATTCTGAGTCGATTTATCGTCCGTCCGTCCATATATTTTTGTCAACAAATTACAGTTCGCATTTATTACCCGATCCAGACGAAATTTTGCACAAGTCATTTGTTTGGCCCAAGGACGAACCCTATTGAAATTGTTGGAGATAATCTGTCAAAATTTAGATATAGCTCCCATATATATCCTCGTCCGATTTGCCTTTTATTGTACATCACATATATATATTCCTGATCAGAAAAAAGTTATAGTACGATATAGCGATGTTCACGATATAGTCCACTTTATTTAGTCAAGAGCTTTGAAATGTAGCACAAAGGTTTAAGTTATAAGGTATTGAAACCAAATCCAAAAAACCAAATCTTGCAAATTTAGTTGTAGTTCCCATATATATCTTCAACTGATTTCGGGTTAATAGGGCATCAAATGGCTGATATCGGCCCAAATTAACTGAATTTTGGAAATTCCGACTAAATTACTCCTAGAAACAAGTACGTCAAATTTGGTGAAGATCGATTCAGATATAGCTATAGCTATAGTGTTATTTTGAAGACTTACATGTTAGATGTTAATATTGCTGATATTTAATGATGTCTGGAAATAAAAAATACGCAAAAATTCCTTTTAAATACCCCCACTTTATGGTGTAGATGTCTGCTTGCTATTTGCCCAATACATGGAAAAATGTCAATCCATATATCTAGGTATGTAAATCCGAATGATATCGATGAACTTATTCTCCTATAAATTAAATTTTTCTTAGTGAACCAAAGTGAAGCCAATGAAATCAGGACACAAGTTTAAATGTAAGTTGTTTTTATTGTTGGGTCCAGTATTTTGGAAAATGCAATCAATACATATATATATTTATACATAAATACGCGATACTACGATGATCTCTATTTCTACAAATGTAAAAATGCATTTCGAATCACAAATTTTCGAAAGTTAAAAATAATTCTTATTCACTAAACTTATGAGCATGTCCTGCGTACGGCTAAAAAAACTATATAACCAATAGATCCGGAATAACACAATGATCTCTGATGGAAGATGGTAGAGTTCACTTGAGTGAGTCATAAATATACAGATGACAAAACATGTCACGTTTAAGCAGCGGCAGTGGTGTTGTAGGACAAGTCTTCATTGGGGGGATGTTTGTGGTGGCGTTTGTTGCGCATAACATAGGGATGGGCAGGTCCATTTTCATAGCTCGACAAGAAGGGAAGATTCAAAAGTTTCTCAGGATATTTATTCAGCAGATACACATAACAGGGAACGGTTCTGATAATAAAAAATAAGATGAGTAATATTAATGTTAAGTATGTAGAATCATGTACCATGATATGAAGCTATGTATGTATTTGCATTGACACTTACCCCTCACCCACTCCAATGTTCATATCACGCATTTCTCTGACATAAATATCTTGACAGTCTTCAAGGTTATCCAGGGACTTCAACATTTTGTCATCGACCTCATAAATTTCACCAGTTACATAATAACCCAAACCCGGTTTGTTGAGCAAAAATGGAATGTTATAACGGGTGGCGATAACCAATGGATATTTTTCGGTTGTTGTAGCTCTGCACCAGAATTTGGCCAATCCATTGGCATCATTGGCCAATATGGAGTGACTGGGCTGTCCGTATTTAAGTCCACCATATACGAAAAGTTTGTGTAGAGCAGATGCGGCTTTCTAAAATTGGAGAATAGGTAAGAAAACATGTTTAAATTCAAAACGTATTGACAAAAACGTAGCAGACAAAATGATGCCATTAATAGAATACAATTCCAAAAATAGATTTCCAATGACTGTGCTAATTAAATTTGTCTCTCAGAAAATCGGGGCTCTGAAAATCTAACACCTTATGGCGCCTTATCTATAATTAATTACTAAACGTACATACAATAAATTGGCCCGAATGTTCGCACTGTGTGGCTTTTGATGCTAATCTCTTAAATGTCTTAAATCAATTTAACAATTATTGTTTTTGTTGTAGCCACATAATACAAGAACAAAGTAGCAAAAGACATATATACATATATATTTCTATACACACAAACGGAGCCTGTTCTACGTGTCTACAGTCAAGGGAAACGAAAAAATTCCACTTGCCTATCATACACGCGCCTCAACCAAACATCTGAAATTTCTTTTAAATATAGTACATTTTATGCCCAACTGATAAGAACTAAATTTGAATGAAGTTTTGGCATTACTTTGTTTTTTTTTTTGCAGTTTTTAATATTGATAAATCGCGCAACACACACATGTGTATATATATATTTATATATTATAAAATATTGTTTATTTGTTGTTTTTGTCTATATATAGTACTGTGCTAATCAAACAAAACTGTTGTGATAGACATACTAAAACCCGGGGGGTATTTTTTGTCATTTATCGCGGTATATACCTTATGGTGGTGTTATTATTGCAGATTATCAGATGTTGAAGTATTTTATATAGGTAGGTATTGTTATTTTATATTTGCAAATTTCGGAATGCATTGTGGATGAATTCCAATGGTTAAAAGATTATGTAAATAGGTATGTATTTCCCAAATTCTTTATTGTGGGGAGGGAGTTATCATGAGAAGTAAGGTTCAACATTAGATGAATTTGAATCTGACATTTGTCTTAAGTATAAACGGGGTTTTATTTGTCGTAAATTAGTTTAATTCTATTAAAGCTGATTCAAGTTTCGGAATGACAACAATTTCGCCCAAATAAAAATCTACATTAACCAATCAACGAATATTTTTTCCTAGTCATTTGCTACTCATACCTACGAAAAAACGGAAACAAATGAATTACGGCCACATTGAAGCAATCAAGTCATTTAATTTTTGCTTGCATGCATTTTTTCATAAATATGGAGTTCAATGATTGCGTGCTATACGTCGTTCTGAATGCATAACAATGACTTGAAGGGAAAATTGTCTATCTTGCAATTTTGTAAATGTTAAATGCCACAGTAAATTGAACATATTGATGTTTATTGGGTTCTCCTGAAGAAAATTACCACCTCTGCGTGTTGCAGTACTGAATAATTAACACATGTTTATTATTAGCTTAAATGGTTATTAACGAATTTAAGGAAAAATGCAGATAACTAAAATAGCTCTGTTCCAGAAACTGCAAAAACCTACTGGTTTTACAATTTTTTTCTCAACATCATTAAGGGAGAATCGGCTATCGCAGTAAAAAGTTTTACAAACTTGCAGTTCCGAACAGTTTAGACCAGATGTTGGAAGAAAACTTTTAATTTAAATAAAAGTTTCATATCGGAGTGAGATGAAAAAACTGCAACCAACTACAGACTGGTGTCATTTCTAAGCCACTGGTTTCATTGACCGTTTGAAGGGCATAATTCTTGCCAAAGGTGACCAATTCGAACAAATCTAAACTTATACTAAAATTTGATGCTATTTGGGAACAGAAAAAATATTTTTTAATAGATTCTGTCTGGTTATTTCAAATGTAAGTTGCTTCGTGGCATCAACATTTAACATCACATTGAAGATTTTTGAAATAAGTTGAGGATAAAAGCTTGACAAATACAGATCCTTGTTAATTGGCTGTCTTATACCTTCAACGATCACTAAAATATTTTACCAATATTTCATTTGAGCGTATGGTTTCGATTCATAATTGTCAAAAGCCTCACAATGTGCCGACAATGACGTGTCAAGAAATATTCACGCAAAAAATTGTCGTGTGGAAAGTGGTATAAAAATAGACTTTCTATGCTAATGAAAACGCAACGCCTTTAGTGGTCTAAATATATTATGATAACAATCGATATATATTCTTAAGCGATGTACGTACCTACATATAACACAAAAAAGCCCTATATATTTATAATTCATTTCAGATACCAAATGATTTTTTTTCATTATTCGTGCCATACAACATCAATTGAAAATGATAATGGAGAATATTCTTCATTGCCTCATGTTTGAGATCGGTTTTGAGTTCGATGCAGAATATTTATTTGTGCGTATAAATATTATATAATTTTTTTTTAAGAAATGCCAATTGTTTATTTACTTGTCATCGTTGTAGGTCAAGAATCTTGCAAGCATATTACTTAATATTATGGAAATTGCCTTATCAATAATTTTAAATAAAGAGCCAATTGATCTTTATTTTGCAATCAAAAAGGAAAGTCAGAGGAACACCCACCATGATTATTATTTTTTTTTATGTCTTCAAACACATTTCGATTATCGGCACATAAATTAGAAGATGGATTATAAATTTGGCCCAAAATGAATGAATGGCAACAACAATTGATTAGAAATTCTATCAAATATAAGCTGTTAGCAAGGCTTTAATTTATTTGGGGATATCCTAGAGTGGCTTCGATCCAGATAGCTTACACCCATTATACAATTTAATGTGGGCGGAGACAAAATACATTTTAAAACATAACCTGAAATATCTCGACTTGATGAGGGCACAAATATTCCCATTAAAATTATCAACGACATGAAAACTCCTTTAAATTCCAAATTTAGTTATCAGATTTCCCTTTACCTTCATTCAGTTGATTATGTAAAGAAGGGATTTGATCTCCGTCATAAAATACTTTGCCTAATTTCGAAACACGTTTTTGGGAACACAATTAACTATTGTTTTCACTTTGCGGGGGATCCAAATGTGTTTTTAGTTTCATACACTTCTAAAGAATGGCCAGAATTGTTTTTTTATTTTTATATTCTTCCAAAAATGGACAGAAAATTGTCCTTTTTTTCTACCTGACCTGCAATAAATGGTGTTTAGTCCCTTTAGACCCTGTTGTATTTTAATTTAATGTTGTTGTTGTTGCTGCTGTTGCCGTTGCAAAGATAATACAACATGTTACATAACAGTTGAAGATCGTCTTCGTGTGCCACCCAGTTAAACTCGATATATGCCCTTAAGATATTCTAAAAACCTCTTTTACTTTTCTGCCCTCAACATTACTTGTGACCTGAATATCCTTTAAGGACCACTAAGCAAACACGCCAAAGCACACTTTCACATAAACCAACAGAAATTAGGCACACATTACACAAAAATAACAAAAACTTACCCTTAGATTGCACATTTTGTTTTTAATTGATTAATGACGGAAGCAAATTAAGTATTTAATGCAAAATTATATTTTGAAATCTGTTTCAAAATCAGTTTTTAATAATATGTATTTGTTCTCTTCTGCTTCTCCTCCGTGTATAGATATCGAATTGGAATTTACGCGCTGAAACCACCTTGCTGCTACAAAACCAGATGTGTACCTATGGAGAGTTGGACTTCAACTGAATACAAATTTGGTAAGGCTATGCCTCCTAATGTCTGTGTGTGTCTGGCATGGCTGTTGGTTGTCATTGCTTGGCGCGAGGAGAGGCGACAGTGAAAAGATAAAGAGAGCACACTAACCACGGCCTGAGAGAAATGTGGTCTGGTGACTAGTGCCGACAGAGGTAATGGCAGCGATAGCAGCGGTAACAAAAAAGCCCACAATAGGCAATTAACTAAAAGAAGATTGGACCGGAGATGTTACTCCCATACAAAAAGACAAGTTTCTGTTTACACCACAACTTGTTGTGGTGCAACTTACAGAGGGGCTTGTCTCCTTTTGTGTGTTTCCAAAACAAAAAATGCATTGCCTTTGAAATTGTCTCATATTTTTAAAGTTTAAAATCGAGATAGGTTTTTTTTTGGTTTAACAAAACATTTGTATATACACATGTGTACATACTTAATTTATACGTATAACACATGCATACATTTGTATATGTATCGAATTGATCACAGAAATATTTTCTAGAATCGAACACACTTCTTTTTTTTTTTTGGTTTGATATTGCGTTCTATTTAACTTAGTTGTAGAAGAACAAAAGGTAGTAAAAAAAGATAGCAAAACAAAAAAAAAACAGCAATGTTTTGGGAAGACATTTAAAAATTGCTTTGCTGTTATCCTTCTCAAATTTTTACATAAAGGGAGACGTGGATATCTTCAGTTCATCTGTCGGCACGACGCGCAATTGCGTCACGTCATACCTACTTCATTTGTATACAATTCTTCGCACATACACATGTACATCTAGTTATATACTAAAAATACTGCGTACGTCAACTAACAGTCCGTGCAAAAATTTTCCGTAAAGTGAAATTTATATAAAAAAATTGTACCTAAAAAGAAATTTAAAATAGATTTGAAACAATTAAGTAAAGAGTTTTGTATTCAGTACTCGGGGGAAAATAGGAAATTTATTTGTTCTGAGAGCAGGGACTATTAGAAGGCTATATTAGCCAAAGTTTTGGTGGGACTACAACACCGGATCTCTCAATTTTATTTGAAGACAATGCTAAAGTAAAACATCATTTTTTTTGTCAAAACATAATTGTAATTTGAAATGCAAATCACAATGGAGCAAAAACTGCTGAGTTTATAGCATGTTAGAAGAATACAGTTAGATGCATCAACGCTTGGGAACATTGATATGTAAAAAAATGTTAAATGTTTTTTTTTTCAACTATAAGTATATTTATATGTTTTCTTATACGACGTCATTCGGATGTTATTATAATTCGCGTTTTTCAACAATTTTTACAAATTTAAATAATTTTTCATTCAACATTTTCAATTCAAAAATTGGTTTGATAGTTCATTGTCCCAGCAGATGTATCGATGCGTCTACCTATATTTTACTACCATCATTTATATTTCAAGTAGTCTATTTATCCCATATTCCACAATACAATTTTCTCTTTGTTAACAAATTACTTTGCAAGCTAAAGTACTTACTATTTATTGACGTCTGCTGTATATTTTAAGTTTTTATGTATTTTCAGAACAAAGCAACGCAAACATTGTCGCATGTTTTTACCGGTTTGGAAACCAACCAACAACAAAATATTGCCATAAACAAAATGGAAGACAATTGTAAACAATAAATGTGTTTAATACAAAATATATGTAGGTATATAAAAGTTGTATATACATATGTAAGCAGCTTTTGCACGCGCCATAGAAGTCAACGCTGTAAAATTGTATTTTTGTTTTTATTCACATTTTCATAATATCCCAATCATTTTGCGGAGAGTAATGTGAACAAATTATCTTCTCGTTATGATTTTCTCCCTCTCTCCCTCTCTCTCTTGAGACATATAAGGAAACTTTAGTTTTATGTTTTGCATAATTCATATAAAACTATTCTAACATTTTACATAATGCTTAGAAAGAATACAACAAGGGGAGAAGAGGTGGTTATCTTTGCCGTTTTCCAGACGTCTCACTTGCTTCGCAACAAATTGCTATTATGATAAAAATAATATAAATTTATAATGTAATGTGTTCCAAGAACTTGATGACCCAGCAAAATCAATGGAGAACACCAGAGAAATATAGCGTGGCACTTGTCTCACACCCTATTAAGCGGCTAAACTTTCATTTTGTTTTTATTTCATTTTCATAACAACATGTTTTAGTAAGGGAGGGAAATGCCAGTGAGAAGAGAGTTTCATAGACATTGTGGTTAAGAGAAGACAACAGCGTTTTAAGAGAAACTTAACATGGTCAGGTAGATAAGGTATAGCATATTGGCATATAAATAAATTAGAGGAATTATAGAAAACGACACATGGTTTAGGACCATAGATATTTTAATAAAACTAATATTTTAATAAGTCGATTAAATATAGCCAATCAGTAGTCACATTCTGTAATTTTAATCGAACAAATACAGAACAAACAAATAGGATTAACAATGAGTAATAATGTTAAAAAGTTACAGAATAATCCTACAAGTATTTAATTAAATAAAATTTACAATTTGATTTATTTTACAAAATCTGAGGATCTAATTGCTACTAAATTTAAATTATTATTATTTTTTTTTTTGTATATATATTACTATTCGTTGATTATTTTTGTTATTTATTTAGTTTTTTTCTTAGATTAATATTGTTATAGGCTGTGTTAATATAAGATTTTGGCCATGTTGGCTTTTTTATATTGAATTGAATGAAACAAATGAAATGAAATCAGATTTATTCTTACTACTCAGAACATATCTTAAAATCAAAATATGTCTGATAACTGTAAGCACACAAATTTTCGCAGTTAGAAAAAAGCTTATGAAAAATGTCACTTAAACGTATTTTGATATGTTTGAATTTGCACAGCAAAATACAATTGATAATAAATAGAATAAATATAGGTAGATAAACATGGATGTGTACATTATTCATTATGCGTGTGGTTCTGCATCATCAATTTAAAAATTAAATTATATTTGTACTATAATTACTTTATTTGTATAAGAATGCCTAAAAACGCTCTTAATTTGGCGGCAAGTGTAGATTTCTGTTTGCTTAAAGTATCATCCGAGCATTTTATGATTTAAAAGCTATATGTATTCTTTCCAAATATTATTAAGGGAAATTCAGTTCTTTAAAATATATAGTCAACATCGTCGTGATAACATAAACCATTTGGTCCATAGTGTTCGTGTTTTTTACGACAGGCACACATGTTGGGTAAAAAACAATAGCCACGAGGTCCACACTTTCTGGAAATCAATTAATAAAAACAGTTTTATTTAATTTTATTCAATATTATATGTTATCAATGGGATTCAAATGTTTAAAAATTGTATTCTGTTAGTTTGGCTGAAACTTGCACAGGGTGAGATGAAAAAACTGCAACCAACTTCAGACTGCTGTCATTTCTAAGCCACTCGTCCGATAGCTGTTAAAATAATTTCAGTGGTAGCTCATTATATTGTTTACAAGCGTAAAAAAGCATGGAATTCAAGCGTGATAGTGTGATTTCTTTATATTTGACTGGAAAACCACAAGTGGCTATCGTTAGAGCACGCCAGCATTTAAATGTGAATAAATTAGTTGTGTCTCGTACCAGCGCTCGTTACCGCACCGTGATACTGGTAGCGTAGCCAGACGTTAAGGAAGTGGACAGAAGAAAACAGCAACATCAGGAGAAATGGTGCGAAAAGTAAAGAACCGACTTGATCGAAACCCGCGTCGCAGTAGCCGAAAAATGGCTCGTGAGCTGAACATATCGCAATATTCCATTCGGCAAATATTGAAAAACGAGCTCGGTGTAAAGCCATTGAAATTCCAAAAATTGCAAGAGCTTACACCGCAACAGATAGAAAATAGACTCCGAAGAGTTAAAGAGTTGCTTCGATTGGCTAAAAGTGGTGAATTGCCGAATTTGGTTTTCTCCCATGAGGAAATATTCTTTGTCCAGCAGTTTGTAAACAAACAAAATGATCGTGTTTGCTTGGCAAAGAGGTCAACTGAAAATGTGCACCTTCGGTTGGCCACCAGAACTCAAGCGCCGGCCATGATGATGGTGTTGGCCGCCATAACAGCCAATGGTCGCTCTCCGCTCGTATTAATCGACCGTGGCATCAGAATAAATGCCAAATATTATCGCGAAAATATTCTGGAGGTTGTATTAAAGCCTTGGGCACACAAATATTTTGGCCGCAGACCTTGGACATTCCAACAGGACTCAGCACCATCGCACTCAGCACGCGCCACCCAAGAATGGTTACAAACTGAGGTTCCTCGCTTCATTTCCAGCGCACAATGTCCACCAAAATCTCCGGATACCAATCGGTTGGACTATTGTGTCTGGAGTATTTTGAATGCAAGGTTGGCACTAAAAAATACCAAAGTGTCGATCACCTCAAGCAAGCGCTTCGCCGGGAATGGGCCAAAATACCGCAACATTCGGGCAGCGTGTTACGGTCTCATTGGTCGTTTGAAGGCCATAATTCGTGTCAATGGTGACTAATTCGAACAAATCTAAATTTATTCTAAAATTTGATGCTATTTCCCACATTTTTTTACTTTCATTCAATAAAATTTAAAAATTATGGCGTTTGACTTTGTTGTAGTTTTTTATCTCACCCTGTATTGTGGATTGTCAGTTCTCCAACTCTCTAAATCTTGCATAAAGTAAATTTTTGCATGTCTATTTCAAATATTTGTTAAAACGCATTAATTTGTACTTTTCTTACTGTTTACAAACAGGTTCACATAGTTGGCCAAAAATATTATTTGTTGATCTGAACCCCTGGGCACAGGTGCAAATTCCCTCGTGATTACAATGGCCGTAAAGACAACGCCTGAAATAGAGATGATGGAAACGTTGCAATGACTGTTGTACCATGTAGTTACGTTATGCAACCAAATTCTTTTACCCTTGACATTTGTCTCTGAAAATGGAGTGCTTCCAACACTTTCTTGTCACCGGATCAAATGCGGAACCTTTATGCTTGCACACACATATATCTGGCCCAGCACAATAACCTCCTGCCTCTATACACCCTGGTAAACATTGCTGGGCACATATCAGACCATTTTCAAACGATGTCATATATGAATTTTCACACGGACATTCACCATCCTCGAAACAGTTGTCATCGATACAGCGAATGGGACAACGTGAAACACATTGTTTGGTATTTACAATTAACATTTCATAAGCCGAGCACGGTGGCGGCGGATCATTGAGTTCGTAGGCTATACTGTCTGAGAACTTCAAGAGCAGGGTGGTGGTGGTGAGTATTACAATCCATCTAATAATCATCCTCAGTGTGTAACAATGTACTTATGGCCCATAAAGATAACAGCGATAAGATGCTTTTCATGATCAATCTCAAACTTTACTGCCGCCTTGGCTTATCTTTTTCCGATGTCTGACGGTATTCCATGTGAAGATAGTGAAAGTCTGTCGTTTTTGGTCTGCAAACACACATATAGACGCATATACTGATACGTGAGTTTTCAATTGTCCATATGTACATAACTTTATTATCTCAACTATTACGGCATAATTGTTTATTTTTATAATTTGCATTCGCCACAAGGGACCCTCAATTTTTGTTGTTATTTGCATTATTAATAATGTCGAACGAATTGTAACAGTTAATGGTGATTTCAAAAGAAATAAACAAATAAATGAAAATTTACATCGATTTCGGTTGTGCTGAATTTCATGTGGCTTTTAACTCATTTTCATATTTTTAATACCCTCCACCATACTATGGAGGGTATATTAAGTTTGTCATTCCGTTTGTAACACCTCGAAATATACATTTTAGACTGCGCAAAGCATATATATTCTTGATCAGCATAAAATTCTATTCGATTTTGCGATGTCCGTCCGTCTGTGTAAATCACTCTAGCTCCCGAACGAAATGAAGTAGATTGATAAAATTTTACTCAAGTGTATATTATGTTAGCAGGACTTTTGGTATTGAAAATGGGCCATGTAGGTCTACGTTTTGGTATAGAACTCATATAACGGTACTTCCCGATATTCGGTATTTTGAGGATTTTAGCGACATTATTCACCGGAATTGTTTCAAATTTGGTATTTGAATTTCGTAATTGATACTACAGCCTAAGACAGAAAATTGTCTGTGCAGATCCACGTCTTCGTATAGCTCTTATGTAACGGTACCTCCCGATATTCGGTACTTTGTTGATTTTAGCGACCTTATTCACCGGAATTGATTTAAATTTGGTATTTGATGTTCGTAATGGAATCTACAGCCGATGACAGGAGAGTGTCTGTTCAAGTCCGCGTCTTCGTACAAGCCCCATATATCAGTACCTCCCTATATTCGGTATTTTGACTATTTTAGCTACATTATTCACGGTTTTTCCAAGTTTCATATTTCAATATTGTAATGGTTTATGACGAAAGTTGCCTATGCAGGTCCATGTCTTCGTATAGACCCCAATATAACGGCTATATTCGGCATTTTTACGATTTTAACCGAATTTTTGGGAATGTTGTTTGGCGAAAACTTTTATATTCGTTGCAAGGGTGGAGGGTATTCAAAGTTCGGCCCGGCCAAACTTACTACTTTTTTAATTTTTTTTTTACTCAACCTTAAGAACTTCCCACCCATAGCTTGAGGCACCTTAATACCCCTTCCGAAATGAATAGACGCATATTGACCATTCAAATTTCTCTTCATTTGATCACGAATGGATGGCAAAGAGAACTTTGGCAAATGTAAAGCGTATGACGGCTGTGTATTTCCTAAGCTCCTAGGTTTTATTTGTGCAATGCGCGGGCGCATACGGGAATTCGTTTTCATTCTGTGTCGGACTAGAGGGAGTGCTGAGACAAAAAAGCTCAAACATTAGCTGTATGCTTGTGTGTCCGTACCACCACATGTGGTTGGCTGTTTTGCTCGCTGGATGGGATGACTGGCTGGCAGACTAACGGCTGGAGTACCCAGCAAGCATTGTCTTAATACTTTTTTTTCACAATTTTCTTTTGAACATTGCTTCCACACAGCAACTTTACTTCCACTTATGTATGTTGTTGGCATTTCGTTTCGTTTGGGCTCTTTGGTTGTTGTTTGTTTGGTTCTGGATGTAGTCACTGTCTGTCAGTTAGTCAGTAGCCGTTGAATTCTCTAGCAAGTCGGCCGCAAAAATTTACAATTGGTTTTTCATCAAAACAATTCGGCAAAATAAAATAAAACAAAAAGACAACGCGAATTCCAATCATCCAGCAGCTGCCTGTTGAATGGAGAACCTTCTTAGGTAGAGAAATAGAAAAAAAAAAAACTGCTAGTGTGGGTGTGTTTTTTATTATTTAAATGGTTTGTGCGAAAAAAAAAAATATTGAAAAGTATATTTAAAATTGAAGTGAATAACACCCGGAACGAAGATAACCATTTCGGAAAATAGCATATTTAATGTACGTGAGGTGGTCTTGTTAGCATGCAACATAAGTGGAGTGTGTGTTTTATTAGCGCTTGTCTGGGCTCCCTGTATTTAACACCAACGCCATGAGCGCCAATAAAAAAAGAGTGCTCCCCCAGCTGTCTGGTTACTTTGCCGCACCTTAAAGCCAATTTTGCAGCTTTTTGCCGAGTTTGGTTCGTTTTAATAGCTATTTCCTTTTGGATTTTTGATAATTTTACATGGGAGCAATGTATGCTTGATTGTGTATGTCATTGTGATCGTGGCCAAGCTCTTCCCCATTCTCCATTGCCAGCTAAGCTAGGCTATAAATGAATTTTATTCTCAAACTCCTCGCGTTTTTTATGAACATTTAATTTGAATATTATTATGGTTTTCGTTCAAAAAAAAATTTTACTTCCACAGGCATTCTTCAAAATAAACAATAACAACAACAGCAACTACGATGATTACAATTATGATGTTGTTTCGAGTGTGTGTGTGTGTGCGTTGTGTGCCTGTGTTTGGGTCTTACTCCCCCTTTTTTTCTATTGAATGAATAGATGCGTGTGTCACGAACAGTTGGTGGCAAAAGTCTCCACACGTCAAACCTTTTATTTTATAGGTAGGACTACTTAACTTATTAAAAATATCTATAAATTGTGTAATATTTTATAAAAAAAAAAGTTAATTACAAATGGTGTACAGAATAATCTGAGCTAATTTATGGCCATTGTAATGTTAATTGAAAAGTAGAAACAAATAATTATATTCCTGCAAAGTAGTCTGGCATTGGTTAGAGATGCTGTTATCGCCCATTGTTTAGTATTTTGGAAGTCGCTGAAATATCTAATATTATATATCCGTTCTTTTTAATATCCATCCAATTTTAAATTGTTGATGGTTCTTGGTTGGTTTAAAGATGCGTAGCTACAGGGGTTCAGAAAGTGCTTCACTTGGGTCCATTGGGTTCATCCTAGAAAAAAACAACATTTTGGGGATTGGAGTGATACAGAAGCGAGAAGGAGACATTTTGGTCTGCCTAGCACGGGAATGCCTTTGGTAAACTTGTAAGTGATGATGGGATCAATGTCTGGGAAGACCGTTAGAGTTTCTATTTCCCACCTGGCAAAAAGCCAACGTTTCTTGTTGGATAACAGGGAAGATGTTTAATCGTCTCTATCTCTTCGTCATGTTCACAAGGTCTACAGTAGTCAGGAACACAGACGTCCCATCTTAAGGTCAGATATCGCATACAGTGGTCAGTCAGTATGCCTACCACAATTCTTAGAATAGGACCTACTATGAAAATACCGAATATTGGAAGGTACCGTTATATGGGTGCTATACCAAAACGTGGACCAGCATAGACAATTTTCTGTCATAGGCTGTAGTACCCATTACGAGCTTCAAATACGAAATTTGAAATAATTCCAGTGAATTATGTTGCTAAATCATCAAAATACCGAATATCGGAAAGTGCCGTTATATGGGGACTATACGAAGACGTGGACCTGCATACGAAATTTTTTGGCATAGGCTGTAGTACCCATTACGAACTTTAAATGCGAAATTTGTTACAACTCCGATGAATAATGTTGCTCAAATTATCAAAATACCGAATATCGGGAGGTACCGTTTTATCGAGACTATACGAAGACGTGGACCTGCATACGAAATTTTTTGTCATAGGTTGTAGTGTCCATAAAGATCTTCCAATACGAAATTTGAGACAATTCCGGCGAATAATGTCGCTAAAATCATGAAAATACCGAATATAGGGGGTGTCCGTTATATGGGGGCTATACGAAGACGTGGACCTGTACGGACAATTTTCAGTCATAGGCTGTAGTATTCATTACAAACTTCAAATACCAAATTTGAAACATTTCCGGTGAATAATATCGCTTAAATCACCAAAATACCGAAAATAGGGAGGTACCATTATATGGGGGCTATACCAAAACGTGGACCTACATGACCCATTTTCAATACCAAAAGTCCTGCAGACATAATATACATTTGAGTAAAATTTTATCAACCTACTTCATTTCCTTCGGAAGCTAGAGTAGTTTCCACAGACGGACAGGCAGGCGGACATCGATAGATAGTCTTAGAATTCTCCGCTGAAATGAAATGGATATACAGTTTGTAGGGTCTATTATGAATATTTCGAGGTGTTACAAACGGAATGAATAATATACCCTCCATAGAATTGTGGAGGGTATAAAAGGAATAACATTAAGTCTCCACAATAAGCGTCACTCTTATTGTCTTACCCTGCATTTTCAGTCATGTACCAGAACCATAAGTAATAACAACAAATTTCATTTCTCATTAATCGGTTAAGAACTTGACACCAGATACACAACCTCTATGTGTATACTTTGTGCGCTCAGTGTAATTGGCTTGTAATAAAGTTGCATTATTGCCGCTGCAAGATGTAGTCCATGGTGGTGTTGGTGGTGGTTGTAAATAAATTTTTTGAACTCCCAAAGCAGAGCAGCGTAAACATGCACGGGCATACACACGAATGAAGAATGCATTACAAGCAAGCAGCGTACTTCGCTGCTTCCGCTGTTTAGAAAATGGAATAAAGATAGGCAGATAGGCAGCTGTGTTGTTGGCTTGTGTTTAGCTTTTCTTCCAAAACCGAAATGTTACAACAACTACGACAGTATTGGGAAAAAAAACATTACATTTTATTCGATCATCAATTCGATGGCTGGTAAAGTTTTGCTGTTTTCCCATCTGATTCCATTGGGGTGCGGTTGTTTGTGCGGAACCATTTCAAAATCATGCAATTGCAGTGCTTTTTGTTATTGAACTTCTTTTTTGTTTTCTGAAGAAATGATGGCTAATTAATTGACAAAAAAAAAGAAATAATAAAAATCTTATAAAATTCAAGAGAAGTGTGTTTTGTGCGTAAGTGTATTTGTTTAACCATCAGATAAAGACTGCAGTTTTCTTGGATTGAATTAAAAATGCAAGTGTTCTTTTTTTCTACACTGCTTTAATGTGGAACAAGATAAACACCACATCAATTCGTTCGTCATTATCGTTTGCAAGCTTGCTATTTGAAAATTGTTCTTGAATGAATCGCCGAGAGCAAAGAAAAGTGCTGATGATTTCATTTAATTGACAAAAAGATAAGAAATTACATTGATAGCCTAGCAGAGGAAAATGGAACAGATTTTTGTGGTGAAATATTTATAGTTAAAGTGAAAACCTCAGCAATTTTGGGAATACGAAGCATAAAATGTGTTAAGTGTTGAACGTAGTTATTGAAAAATGTACTGATTTTGAGGTGAATATCGTTTGCGATTTTTGTAAATAAGGGCCTGTTAATAAAAAAACAACAATTCTTGATATGCTTTTTAAAAATTTTATAGAACATACCTCAAACCTGGTGTTTTTATTTTGCATTCATTTTCTTACGACATAAATAAACAGGCTCCTGACGCTTGTGACTTTCCATTTGTTCAACTACAGTCATCTTGAGACTTCGTTTGTCTACATTTAATTTGAAAATGCGACGTGATCAACTAATTTCAAATTATATTATAATTATTTAAATTACAGGGTGAGATAAAGAAAAAATGCAACAAAGTCGAGAGCCATAATATTTACATTTTTTTTAATTTTATTGAATGAAAGCAAAAATGTCGGAAATAACATCAAATTTTAGAAAACGTTTAGATTTGTTCGAATTGGTCAACTTTGACACGAATTATGGCCTTCAAACGGCCAATGAAAACGTCACACGCTTGCCCGAATGTTGCTCTGCGGTATTTTGACCCATTCCCGGCGAAGAACTTGCTTGAGGTGATCGACACTTTGGTATATTTTAGTGCCAACCTTGCTTTCTAAAATACTCCAGACAAAATAGTCCAACGGATTGGTATTCGGAGATTTTGGTTGCCATTGTGCGCTGGAAATGAAGCGAGGAACCTCATTTTGTAACCATTCTTGGGTGACGCGTACTGAGTGGTGCTGAGTCCTGTTGTAATGCCCAAGGTCTGCAGCCAAAATGTTTGCGTGCCCATGGCTTTAACACACCCTCCAGAATATTTTTTCGAGATATTATTCGGCATTTATTCTGATGCCATGGTCGATTAATACGAGCGGAGAGCGACCATCGGCTGTTATGGCAGCCCACACCATCACCATGGCCGGCGCTTAAGTTCTGTTGGCCAACCGAAGGTGCACATTTTCATTCATTTTGTTTTGTTTGTTTACAAACTGCTGGACGAAGAATTTTTTCTCATCGGAGAAGTTCACCACTTTCGGCTATGCGAAGCAACTCTTTAGCTCTTTTGAGTCTATTTTCTTTCTGTTGCGGTGTAAGTTCTTGCAATTTTTTGAATTTCAGTGGCTTTATCCCGAGCTCATTTTTCAATATTTGCCGAATGGAATATTGCGATATGCTCAGCTCACGAGCCATTTTTCGGCCACTGCGACGCGGGTTTCGATCAAGTAGCTTCTTTATTTTTCGAACCATTTCTGTTGATGTTGCTGTTTTCTTCCGTCCACTTCCTTCACTTCGGGCTACGCTACCAGTATCACGGTAACGAGCGATGGTACGAGACACAAACGATTTATTCACATTTAAATGCTGAAATGCTCTAACGATAGCCACTTGTGGTTTTTCCAGCCAAATATAGAGAAATCACACTATCACGCTTGAATTCCTTCACGAATAACTTTTTTCTGGGAATGACTTAGAAATGACAGCAGTTTGAAGTTGGTTGCAGTTTTTTTATCTCACCCTGTATAATATTTTCATTTCATTTATTTTTGTGAAATTTAAGTGTTAACCGGGTATACCCAATAAGCACACCTGAAAGTTCAAGACCCAAGTTCCCAAAATGCAATATGAATTAATAAATAAATAATTGTTTTCTTTTCTCTTACAGGTTTACTAACCGACGACGATGAAATGAGCACTGAATGTCAAAGCCAAATTATAGCAGACACAAAACTTCCATCATGTGTTATATGATCATAACCGGAGGTAGCCTCGTATGGTTTCTCCTTAGTCTTATAGCAGATATGTTTGTGGTAACGGCCATTGTTACACCGAAATGGTTAATCGGACCCACAGCCCAAGCTATTACACTGTCAACTGTCAAATATGCAGCCAGCACCGATAATCAAACACTGGCTACCGCGGCCACGACCACTTACAGACATCCCTCAGTTGGCATATATACACGATGTAAAGCCATACGTGAAGCTGGCCACCACTTCACCTTCCATTGTGGATCATTTGATTTGGATGGTTTTTCCACCGATAGTGAAATATATCCTTCGCCATGGAAGGCGGCAATGTTTTTTATTTCATTGGGCTTTGTCTTGTTGACGTTGACGGTCTTGTGTACGTTAATATCGTGCTGTCGGCAATCGATATTTGGAAAAAGTCTTCATAATATGACTGCTTGCGCACAAGTCACGGCAGGTGAGTTGGTCAAATCATTCAAATCTCAAATCTTTAACGACATTCAAAGGATATTTGAATAATATATATTGAATATTTAATATTTATATTTGAATAATTTTTACTTTGATAAGGTTCGAAATTTAAATTTCTTGGCCCATTGAAAAAATATTAGAAAAATAAACGCTTTGTTCCAGAACCTGCAAGAATCTACTAGTTTTGCAAAATTGGTTACATTTTTGCAGATTCTGGAACAGAGCTAATGTCATGTATAATTGATGAAGACAGTTTTTACAAATTAAATTATTCCACAAATGTTTTTCATTTCTAAAATTTTCAGGCATAAGCGTCATGCTGAGTTTATTCCTACATCCCATGGGTTGGTCCGCTTCTAGGGTACAACTACTCTGTGGTCCGGATGCTGAACCGTTCTATGCAGCTGGCTGTTCATTAGGTCTGGTTGTTTTTCCCACATCACATCACATTGGTCTGGTTGATTCCCATTCGATTCTAATGCTTTTTTCTTTTGGTCCAATTTCAGGCATTTCATTTTACAGTGCCATAGCCGGGGTTATTTTATGTTTTGTGTGTGCAGGCATTAGTCTCAAAGCTGAATCGTCCAATATGCGTACGCGTGTTAAACGGCGTGTTGAAGGAGGCGATCGTTTAGTTTGTATTCCATAGTAGATGTAAGGAAGAAAATGTGTCACAAAAATCGAACGACCAAACATCGACATCACTGAAGAGAACACAAAGTGTTTTTTGTTGTTTACTTATTTTCTTTTTTCAAAGAAATCATTAGAAATATCGAATGTTTATATTATTGTTTGTATTTACATACATACGTATACACATAGGCATAAATCGATGTGTACTTAAGCTGCGTACTTTTTGAAACATAAATATCAATTTGTATCATAATAATATTCTTGTACTTATGTGTATGTATGCGCCTGTGGATAGGCCGAATATCAGAATCTTTTTTTTTTGGATTTAGTTTAGTTGACGAAACTTTTTTGACTGTAATTTATTTTAGCTTTTTATACGTATTTACATTTATGATTTCAATAAACTACACTACAATGATGGAGATTATTTTCCTACAAAATTTAAAATTTGATTTCAAGAATTTTGATATAAAAAACTATTTAGGATCAATAAATAGATATACATTTTTACATTTTACAGATTTCATTTTTTAAATTAGAAAACTTTGAATCTCGATACATTCATTAACTTACTCTCGAAAGTAATGTATTTTTACATTTCCACAATGCATCTACTTTTAGCCCTCACAGCTTCTAGCTTCTGAATGGTTTTTAGTATCAAATTTACATTATTTTCTCTTTCCTTTTCCCTTTTTGACAGGCTCATCGCTGGCTTTCGCTTTGGGTATGTACACGCCATGATTTGTAATTTTCAGATGGGAGAATAATTTATTTTTGGATTCGAAATGAGACTTGCATGTGACACAAATATGTTGCGTTTTCTCACTGTCTGTATTTTTGGGAGTCACCAGATTTTCTTGGGGTTTGGATTTTGTTGTGGCTCGGGTGTTTTCTTCTTGTTTTGAACTCTCTTCTTTCGCCCCCATATTTGGAGCTTCTTGAGATGCGGATTTATTTTTAGCAGTTTTGTTTTTATTTTTCGATTTTTTACCAGACTTTTTGTTTGAGCTATCCCAGTCATCGTCGTCTACGTCGTTATCATCGGTTTTGTTAATAGTCAAACCTGCAGTTTGTTTGCTTAACTCTTCATCTTCTTCGACATCATCGTCGGAGTTTATCAATACTGGCAGTTTGGATTTTCTTGAATCCTTTTTATTTTTTGATTTGCGGGATTTCGATTTTTTAACATTGACTTCCTTTTCCTCATTATCTTGTGCCGCCTCCAGCTCTGCTTCCTGAACTTGTTCTTCTTCGTCTTCGACTTTGTCCTCGGTATCTTCTCCTCCCGGATATAAATTCTCTTCTTCGTGCATTTCCAATTTCAGTCTTTCAACATTTTCCCGATGTTTTTTACTAGTTTCGTGATTGGCAAAGGCTTTTTCATTTTTAAATGCCTTATTGCAGGCAACACAATAGAGATCATCATACAACAACTCCTCATAGCTATCATCTTGGTCATCATCTGCACCATCACCAGCAACATTGTCTTCGTACTCAAAATCTTCCTCATCTTCCTCTTCATCCGAGTAATCATCTTCATTGCTGCTGTATTGCTGTTCCAATTGTTTTAGTTGTTCCTCATAGTCATCGCCTTGGTTTGTCGTAATATTTTGTCGCATTTCGGCCAATTCCTGCTGGCGTTTGCGAATTTGTTCAAGGCGATTTTGTTCTTGTTTTTGTCGATTGAAGGCCGCCCTTTCCTCCAGTTGTTTCTTATAGGCCTGGACACGTTTGTCACGTTTTCTTACGAACGATACTAAGTTTCGCACCTGTAAAAAAATTAATATAAGAAAAAGCAAATATTGTATGCCAAAAAAAATTTTACCTCCTCATTTCTTTCTTTTTTGGCCTTCTGGACAACCTTCTTCATATCCTTTTCGATTTCCCTCAAAATACGACGGTCTTTGATTTCCTTAATGTCGTATGGACAGAGCCATGTGTAAGTCCTCTTAGTGCAATATGCACTCCACCAAGCATAAAACGGTCCCACCACTTCCTCATAGCTGCTTGTGGAGTCACCAAATGAAGGTATATTTTCCATGTCCATTTCATCGTCCATAAATTCGGCATCTTCGGCAGCTATTTTCTCAAATACTTCTCTATAGACAGCATAGAACCCTTTGCTATCATCACCATAACCCTTGAAGCAGGACACAGTGAAATACTGGAACACATCCAAACAATTGTCTTCATAGTCGGAATTTTTGCCCCTCAAGATTTGTTCGCGATGATTATCGTACCATGCCCTTTCCTGGGGATCGGATAGCACCAGATAGGCCTGTTGAATCAGTTGAAAGCGCTCCTTGGCCTCTTCCAAGTTGTCGGGGTTTTTATCCGGATGCCATTTTAGAGCCAATTTTCGGTAGGCTGTCTTGATGTCAGTGTCGTTGGCATCCCGTTCCACGCCAAGCTCTTCGTAATAACATTTCATTGTTACGTATTTTCTTTCTCTTTGTTAAGCTGTGAAACCCTTGTGTCCCAGACGAACCTCCATGCGCCAAACAAATTTACAGGGTTACCAGGAGCACAATTTATTGGGACCACGAAGCAGAATGATTTTTTCAACGGCGGTGGCTTATCATGTGTAAAACAAAATCAACGGCGTCACGCATTTCTATCTGTGTACTCTGTACAGAAAAACATTTAAAATTTAAGTACACGTCAATACTTTTAAGGTATGGAAGAGGCAACACTCGGAATGTATAGAAAGTTGAAATGGAACACGCCGCAAGAGCTATTTGTTCTCCCTATGATCAGAAAGAAAAGTGTCGAATATCGTTCTATGTTAATGTTCAAAATGAATATGTTCACTGAATGAACCAAGGGGCAAATGTCATAGAAGAAGCTGTTTACGTTATTCACAGTACCAATTTAAATAATAGAAATTTTCAATGAAAATGACAGCCAACTTGAACCAATCAATAAAATAACACTGATTAATTCAAAGAACTAATTAAATATATAATTTAAACCTAAATACTGCGTAATAAGTGCATAGAGTTGTCAGGAATATAATTTATCATGTTAAATGCAAGTAAACTGACAAAAAATGTCAGTAAAGCATGTAAATATTGACAATTTTTTCTAGTAAAAATTATCCAGTAAAGTGAAAATGAAAATCAGAAATGATAACATAAAGAAATGTCAAATGAAACAATTTATAATGAAAATATTTTTCATTTCAAATTTTCCTGCAGTGCCAAATGAGGCACACATCATCGTTCACACACGTACACACATTCATTATGTGTTATTGTTTTTATGTGGATTTGGCGTATTTAGAAGATTTCCCGCAAAATTTAGATGCAATGACAAACGGAAGACCAGACCAGAAACCGAATAACAGCACACATCCTCTCAAAGGGGTGTTGAGAGTAGCAGTGGCATGTCCGCCCGCCAGCCAGGCCGCTGGAATAAAAAACATTTATCGAAATGCCAGCACTCTGTAGCCATGGCATGTTGTTGTACTATGGCAATGTGTGGAGGCAACAACAAGATGACGGTGAGCATTTAAAAATATCCAGAAACAGATATTTGCAAAAATTGCGCAAGTGCATTACACGGGGAGAAGGAAACGAGACAAAAACAAAACAAAGAGTCGATGAATTTCAATGGAGTATTTCAAGCAAATCCGAACAATGCTCGAGTGTGGTTGTTTGTGTGTGTGTGTGTGGTGTGAGCGTGTGATGATGATTTTGCTCCAGGGAGGACAATTTATCTGGAATACAATTCACACAGAATTCAGTTGCTCACGGTATGCGTTTTGAATAAGATTAACATAACGGTAAAAATATTGTTCGAGAAAGGTTACTTTTTTGGGAAAGAAAGAAAAAAAAAAAAAGAAACAACATAGCAGACATACCTATAACTTGAAATACCAACACCTAGTGTATTGATTGAGTCTGTGGCGAAGTTGGAGTAAATTGGAAAATTAAGAAAGAAAGATTTACTTAAAAATGAATTTTATGCAAGTGATTTAAAGAAACAAAAGAAAAATACAATAACACCAATAAATCAAAGCCAACATTTAAACAAATTCCTATATTTGTATGCAAGTACGTACATATGTGTGTATAACAAACGAGTGTGCAATAAACAATTTATTTCAACTAAATGCTGTAATAAAATACCCAAAACGTGCCGAAAACATTGTGGGCCATTTACCAAAGAGGCCATAATTAAATATTTATACAATGTTTGAAAAGATTTGCAAGGAATTCGTATAAAAGCTCCAGAAGCCAACGCAGTGAAAAGTAAGACATTTTCTTACATTTGGTTTATATAAATCACGATACATCATCACCTACACAACCACCATCGCCATCGCCACCACTATCATCATTTAGCCACCCTTAAAATTGCCAGACTCCAGACTTCCGGTAAGCATGAATTTTGTAAACGTTACTTTGTGTTCTTCAGTGTTCAAGCAAGCAAGACCAAAAAATCCCCAAAAAAAAAAAGAAACTAATGTCGAAGCTGAGCGAGCACAAATCTCTTTTTCATTTCATCTCAACAGTTTTCATTTCATCTCTCATTGTACGTTTCTCTCATTTCCGCTGATGTTGCCGTTATTTTTTGGAAAATTGCCCTTGCTCTCATTATTTCATCTAACGTTAACTTTACAACATCCTTCTACACTTGACGGTCGTCAATGGCTAAACAACAACGCAGGCACACACGCACACAATCTCAGGCATTTGAATGACATTGCCGTTATCTATCTCTCATGCTGTGAATGTTGAGTAAATGTAAACAAAACACCATCACAAAAGGGGAAGCATACTTTAAGGCGGCACACAACATAAACACTGGCATCATTACCGCATTAGAACACTCGCACACACACACACGCAGAGGCAAACAATTGAAGGAACGGTAAAAAATAACGAGGAAACAACGAGACACTGTGCTCTTTTTTATTCCCTCTCCCCACCTCCCTTACTCAGCTGCTCATCATCAGCATCAAAAAAATACGATTTCAACCTACATCACCACCCGTTGTTGTCCACGTTATCCCATTGACACCAACGGCAAGGCAGTCTCTTATGCACCACACAACGGGGGAGTGGAATATAAATGAGTGTACGATAGTGATTGTGTAATAGTGTGCGTGCGAGTGTGTGTGTGTGGAAAATCGCAAAACAGATTCAAGTTATTGCTGGAAAACTGTTATGAGGACAATAAAAAAGGATATGAAGAAGGCTAAGGAAATTGTGAAAAAGGTAATAAAACATTATTCAACGCAGCATTCAATGTAAACGTCCCAGCTTACCCCTCTCCCTCTCCGTTTTCGTAAAGTGAAAAAATCAAGAAAAGTGCTCTCTATGTAAATGTGTGTTCTCCAAGATAGATTGCATACCGCAACATAAGCAGGCTATCTTCCAGCCCCATCTCCTTTTTATTGCCACGGCATGCCGTAACAATAGACCAACTTAGGAATGGAATGACAGACTAGTTTCGTTTATTGCAATGCCATGCAGGCTGAATGGCTGGCTGGCAGGCTGATGTTTTTAGGTTAAACATGAAAACAGTTTCCTGGCATTTGTTTTTGTTGTTTCCAGCTTTTATCGCACTATGGGAATCGCTATTGCGTTAGTACATTTGGCCTTGTTATCTCTGCTTGTTTGGCCATAACCGTTTGCCAAAAGTGATCCCCGGAGACATATTCGTTTTCAAATAACAGCAAAACAAACTACAACTGGAGAACACTTCCCCTTTTGTTTCTTGTTATTGTTGTTTCCATTGTTTGGGGTCTCAGCTATCCGAAGTTAAACTGATAAGCCTTAACTTTTCCCTATGAAGGGATGTGTTCTTGTGTTATTTCGAAAGATATCGGATTTATTGTTAATCGGAAATTCGTGATTTGAATATGACATAGATGCAAATGGCTGAAGGAGTAGGAGGAGATGCTGCTTTCGAATTCTTGTATTGGAAATAGGAGAAATTGATTTAAATTGTATGTTGTCGTTAAAGAAAATCGGGTAAACTTTTCAGAGGCTCTGAGATTTATCTGTTTCCATCAGAAAGGTGAGGCAAAATTGGAAGGAGAATCTTTATTGTTAAAAGGGCTAAAAAAACAAGTAAAACAGTATCAGTCGGTTTAACCGCCAGATGTATTCACCCAGCCTTGAGTTATGATTATTCGAACTGTTTACCCTTCCGAAGTAGTTGGCCAAAAAGGACCAATTCGTATCTGACCTAAGACTGATATAAATATTACAACGTGCCAGATTTGGACTATAGCGACTACTTCCTTTACTTTATAAATTTTTGGAAAATGTGGAAATATGCGTGAGGTAAGAGACATAGCGGACCGAAGTATTCTATTTTCATACTTCATCTAATACTGATACAAATATTGATATGTGCAAAATTTGAAGGAAATCGAACATTTATATCCAATTTTATGCGAAATCATAAATTTCTTTGAGCGTTTTGTTTGGGGAAGGTACGAGAAGGAGTGGACCGATGTACCCCATCTTCGCAGCAGATCTTGTGTAAGTAGAAATAATGGGATGTGTGAATCATGAAGAGATGATTATTTTGCGTTAAGGGAGTGTTTTGTTCTTAAAATTTTGAACCTCTTGGTACCAGAAGAAATTTTTAGAAATACTGAGATGCGCCAATTCTGAATGGAATAGGAAGTTGATTTCGCGTTTTATGAGCTTAATGGATATTAAAACAAATTGACTCTTTTGGGGAGAGGTACCAGAAGGAGTGATCCGATCTCTACCATCTACCATAAAATATATTTTGTTGATGGAAATATTGAGATTTGTCAAGTCTGAACTTCATGAGCTTCATGAATATTTAAAATTTTGACCTTTAGCGGGGGAGGTACCAGAAGGAGTGGACCGATATATTCCAACTTCACAGCAGATCGTGGGTAGATAAAAATATTGTTATGTGTGTAATTTGAAGAGAACCTGATGCTTGTTTCGGATTTTATAATCGTTTTGGTTATTCAAAACTTTGACCCTTTGTGGGGTAGGCACCAGAAGCAATGGTCCGATCCATACCATCATTATAACAGTTCTTTTGTTTATGGAAATACTGAGTTGTGCCAAGTCCGAATGGAATCGGATGTTAAGTTCGTGTTTTATGAGCTTCGTGAATATTTACAATTTTGTGTGGGGTGGTACCAGAGGAAGTGGACCCATTTATCTCATTTTCACACCAGACCTTGGAACAATAAAAATATTGAGATGTGTAATTTGAAGATAATCGGACACGTATATTACATTTAAGAAGGGTCATAATTATTTAAACCTTTGCGGGTGAAGTACTGGATGGAAAGGGCCGATATTGTCCATTTTCGCACCTGACCTAGCATTGATGAGAGTATTAGGATTTGCAAAATTGCAGCAAATCCGATTATCCTTTTTCTTTCCGTGTATTAAAACATTTTTTTTTTTTTTGAAAATTTTGACCTTTTGTGGGGGAGGTACTAGAAGGAGGGGACCGATATTGTCCATCTCAAAACTCGATCTAAGTTTGACAATAATATTACGATGTACCAAGTTTGGATCAAATCGGACTCTCCTTTCGGGAGATATCGTGCGCACCAGTCAGACAGACAGATGGACGGACAAACATCGCTAGATCGACTCCAAATGTCCTGAAACGGATGTTGTCCAAAGAGACCTAGGGTCTAAAACCGTTATAAATTCACCATAAAATTTTATATTAACTTCAATTTCAAATTTTAGATTCATTCAGTTTGGCAACATGTTTTTAATTAAAACTAAATTTTCAGACATTCAAAGACTTTTCAGATTTTCTCGGAAAGAAGAAGAGGTAAATGTTTACCTCTTACACCAAGAAGTCTTCAAAATCTTTTATTTTGAAGTTTACCGAGGAAGACATTAGTAAAATTATTGCAAAAGGGACCAACATCCAACTTTTCCAACGTCCCCATATACAGAGAATTTTTAGAGTTTTACGCCTGTTCCTTCAATCAATACCAAATTTAGTAACATTTAGTACCCATATCCAAAATTATCTACATCTCTGCATCCTCGATACCAAAAGCTATCCAAAATTAGTACCATTTTGTACTTTTCGTATAATTTCAGTACTGATTTGCAAAACCGTTGCATATCTGAATCCTAGACACCCACGGTTATCGCAATATCAAATTTAATAGTTTCAGCTCTATGCCTTTAATTCATTAATTAATTAATTAATTCATTTCACGTCTTCAGCTCTATTCCTTCACCCATTGCCAAATTTAGTTCAGTTAAGTACTTTTCGTACAACTATAGCACACATTCCAAACCCACCTCCAAATCCCAAAGACAGATACCATCAGTAAACTCAGATTCGAGTTTCAGAATTGTATCTTGTTTCAAATTTCGTGATTCCAGCTCTATCCCTTCACCAAATACCCAATTAAGTAACACTTAGTACTTTTCGTACAATTATAGTATACATTTCGAAAACCACCCCCATATCTTAATCCTAGATGCCAAAAGGAACGCCAATATCAAATTTTGAAATACCAGCTCTATCCCTTCACCAAATACCCAATTTTGTACTTTTCGTACAATTATAGAACACATTTCTTAATCCGCCTCCATATCTCAATCTCAGATACCAATCAAGATCACAATATCGAATTTCGGAATCGAATTTCTTCACCAAATACCCAATTAAGTAACATTTAGTACTTTTCGTACAATTTTAGTAATTATAGTCCGAAACCACCTCCAAATATCCAGGCTGTACATGGACAGATTCATGATTCAGATTTCATGCGCTATCTGTCCACCCAATACCATATTGTACCCAATATAGTACTATTTTTACTTTTCGTGCACTTGTAATACCCATTACTAAAACCACTTCTCTATCACCAACAGCGACCCCGATATAAAATTTCAAAATTAAATTCCTATCCCTTCACTTACATTACTGTACATATTTCGAAATCCGCCTCTATATCTCAATCCCCGATACCACAATATCAAATTTCGGGATTTCAGCTTTATCCCTTCACAGCATACCAATTTAGTACTTTTCGTACAATCATAGTACACATTTCCAAAACCGCCCAAATCCCAAAAGAGACGCCGATATCAAATTTCGAAGATTCCAGCTCTATCTCTTCACCAAATACCCAATTATGCAACATTTAGTACTTTTCGTACAATTATAGTACTTATTTCCGAAACCACCTCCATATGTCCAGGCTATACATGAACAGCCACCCTGATAACAAATTTCAGATTTCATGCGCTAAATGTTCACCAAATATCAAATTGTACCAAATATAGTACTATTTTGTACCTTTCGTGCACTTCTAGTACCTACAACCAAAACCATCTCTTTATCACAAACCTTCCAACAACAGGGTCCCCGATATAAAATTTCCGTATTTTATTTTTATCCCTTCACCAGTACCAAATATAGTACCATTCAGTAATTTTCGTACAATTATGGTACACATATCCAAAACCACCTTTTTATCTTAACCACATACAACAATAGAGACCTCAATATCAAATTTCAGGATTTCAGCTCTATCTGATCAAATTCCAAGTCTAGGGACCCCCATAGAAACCCCGATACTCAAAACATCGAAATTTCAACTTCCAAATTTAGTACAATTTAGTACAATACGTACACATTTCAAATATATTAAACTTAATTTCCAACCCTGATTTTCATACTAAATTTTAAGTTTTTAGCTTGAAATAATACCAAATGGTACCATTTTAGACAATTTAGTACCAGTTTAGAACTTTTTGTAACCTGAAAAGTTAAAAACCTTTGGTACATCTATCCTGCACTCCATCAGTGACTCTCATTTTAAATTTTTAGAATTGAAGCTCAATCCCTTTGTCCACTACAAAGTATTCAATTATTAGTAACTTTTAGTACTTTTCGTACCATTTTAGTACGAATTTCCAAAAACCCAGCCTTCGGAGATGCCAAAACAGACCCTCGTGAAAATGTCTAGATTCAAGCTTCAGCCGTTTCATCTGGCCATTGATTCACAGTCAGTTATTTCAATTTTTTAAGAAAGTGTAAATTTGAGTTCGAAATCAGTTTAAGGGGTTCTCTCTTCCTAACTTTCAACTTCCCAAAATTGGCTACATTTGCCGTTTCCTTCCTATGCTATTTTCGACTTAGGCTTGCAAATATCTCCAATTTTTCTCAAAACTCGACTGATCCTTGTATATGAAATACCTCCAAGCTGATACAAAGGATTCCCTATTCCCTCTGTATTATTCCCGATACCTCCGATCTTGGGCTTTCACAAAAATGTCCCTTTTTCGAAAACATCAAACCTCTTTTTTCATACGACTGTCATAAATCAATTAGGTAGTTTCCAAATAACCTCTAACAATTATCCTCTAACAATTATCTTTGTCTAACACATTACCCTTATCCTCCCCCAGTTCATCAAAGGAATTACCAAGGATATCCGTCCAATATTGACAATGGGTAATCATCAATATTTAAAATATCATAAACTCAAATGAAAACTCTCCAAGTCGGAGGAGTTGTCGTTGTCACGTACGTCACGTTAAGAAGTTAACACCTCGTTTCACCGAAAAAATCACTGCCACGACAGACGCTCTCAGACACACACACACAACATGTTTGGCTCCAAGTTGCGATCTTGGATGGAGAATCACATTGTGAGGTCTCGTAAAAAGGGTAATAAGAATAAAAATGCCTTGGCAGAGCAACAAACAGTGGCGACAGGAGCAACAACAACAACAACATCAAACGACCATAAACATAAGCATGCTGCAACAGGATTTACGATTTACCATCATCATCATCAGCAGCAGCAGGGCAATGGCAGCTGTTCATCGCCCTACAAAAGTAATTCCAATTCGCAAGCATCCTCCAGTGCCAATCACACAGGATGTAGCAGTGTCATATCGAGTCCGGTGCGACGCAGAGAGGTGTCGCCCATACAGAATCATGTAAGTGTGCCAAATGGCTTGTTTTTTGCTGGTTATTACCTAACGTTGTTATCTTTTTTTTTTCAGACCCAAAGCCGTTACGGCTGGCAGTCGCCAGATGGTGAACATGTAATGTCTCCCAAATCGGATAATTTCCTCTATGCCCCGCAACACCATAGCCAACAGTATTTGCGTAATCATCACACGGCGCCCAACACCCGAGAAAACTCCTGTGAGGAGAAACCGTACCAACCACCACCATCACTAGTGCCAAACAGTCATCAACATCAGCTACAGCCCCAGTCTCAGCAACAACAACACCAATTGAATTGTTCCACCTCATCGTTTTCTTCGTTGTCATGGTCGACTGGCTCCAAGGAGCCATCTATGCACTCCAACAACAACAACAACAACAATGGTCAATTGAATTCGGCCAATTTGAGTGTCCTGGCAGATGTGACCAATGCCAATGTGGAACGCCACCCCTCCTCCTATACCCCACCGGATGAGACCAAAAAATACGATGACGATGATCCCAATGCCGTGCACTATGAGGAAATCGGCACACTGATAAGACATCCGGAAAAACTGCTGCAGGACATCTTGAATGACATTGAACGACCCAAGTCGGAACAATTTGTCAATGGCGGCCAAAGAATACCAGCCTTTTCGGATGAGAAACAAACCCAAGATGATGCCTCCACCAGATATGGCCGGCTGTTGCCATCGAAAATACCGAATCCCACGGTTATTGGATTTCGCACTGGCAGTGAGGAGTGTATTCCAAGGAATGGTTCCAACACTGCTGTGCAAATGGGGCAGGGTCGTAATGGGGGAAGTAGGAGTAAATTCCGTGGTGGCAATGCACCCATGGTGAGTTTATCTTCGCCCGAGAGTGCCTACTCTACGGGATATTCTACGGATGGAACCTCGCCAGGAGCTGGCTATACTCCACCCGAGTATTATGTGAATATGCGAACAGGTACGCATTACTTTCCCAAGAGTGTCAACTCTTTGGCCATTGAGGCCCAACGTTACAAATTTGGTTTGAATAAAATCGAGGAAATGTCTCCCATAGATCCATTGGTAAGTTCAATAGCTTTGAAGGAGAAGATTTCTTCCACATTTGTTTTTTATCTTCTCGTTTTAGCCCAAAACTTCTTTTGCTCATCGCAATCTGGAGGAGACGGAGAGTGGTCTCGTTAAACACCCCCACGGCCTGGATCCATATGAGAAAATCTTAAGCCAGCAACATCCTCTACCATATGGTGGTGCCTCGGGCCAGCACAGCCCACTGCCAATACGGAATACCATTGTAATACCCACCCTCAAGGGATTTGAATGTAAGCAGATTGTGGACCTCTGGCGGAGGACTTAAATTAATCGCTTATTTATTTTTGTTTTTATTTTCCATATCCCCCAGCACCTTCGCCACGCCAACGAAGTCGCATACGCACCAATCCCTGGTACTCCACCACCGAGACATCCTCCTCCAGTTCCACAATGCAACCGCAACAACAACAAGTGTCACAGCTCAATGATGGCAATCTTATGAACATCTCACAGATCTCCTCCTCGATGACGATGTCGTCTTCCACTTCGTCACACTCAACGTCTGCCTTGTCAACGATTCACTTGCAGGAGCAGGACTTCCAGCATCGCACATCGTTGCCTAGTGGCATTGTCAGCTCGTCAAGTCGTCATTTCAATTCAGGCAGTGCCAGCGGCAGTAGCAGGGGCAACACTCTGAGCATGAAAACAATTCACAACAACAACAGCAGCAGCAGCAACAGCAACACGAATAAAAGCAACAGCAGCAGTGGCAACAACAACAACAACAACAAGTAAGTGGAAAGGCACGTTGTTGCATAAAATGAGGTAACAAGAGAGCAATTAAAGTAATTAAATCAAAATCATTCTTCTCTTCTTCAACCAACCAACCAACCATCCAACCGTGCCACCCCTTGCCTGGCGAATCATTAACAACCACCCGCCCCCCAACACCTGTCCACTTAACAGCCTGACGTGTGTTTCGTCGGGGTCTTCATCCTCTTTGACTGAAGTGGAAAATGCACATCGCCCATACACTCCGAATACGGTGAGACGCAAACGTTCGCTGCAACTGCATCAAAACCAACACCACCACCAACACAACCAAACCCAATCGCATCCTCTGGAACCTGTTGCCGCTGTGTCACTTGCCAGTCCCCATAAAAAACCGGCTGAAGCTCCTTTGGCCATTGTCAGTGACGATGATAATACACTCAACGAAATGATGGGAAAGTTTGATGAGAGCTATATTTACGAGAAGGAGACTGATATACTGAGGTAAGAGAGCTAATCGGGGGAGGGGTAGGGGGGTTACAATAGGGATTCCAATACTCTTTTATGTGAAATGTCATTGATGTTCTCCAATGGAGGTTATCTCTATATTATTTGTGTCGAGGAGTTGAGAATAATTTAAGAAATTGGGAATTTGGCTTTAGAGCAGTAATAGTTTGGTTTCGGAGGGAACTAATATATGCGAGGCATATCTAATTCTGAATCGATTTTCATTAAATTTGACGGAGACATTTTAATCATTAATACCAAATAACATTGCTATAGAGTGCATTCGAGAATAATTAAATTAAAAAAATATATCGGAGCCGAGTTCCACAAAATGGGAACGTACGTCCCGAAATTCACTTCATTTGGGCTGATATTAGCCATTATTTGCACAATAAACCTAAAACATAGGAAATAAATATAGGAGCCATATCCAAGTTGATAAAATTTGACAGAGGTATTTCCGAGCTCTATGGTATTAAATATCATTGTTGCCAAATGCATATTACGAATGTGAGGGACTTAAACACCAATTTGGATGAAACATATATATGGGAGCTATAGCTATATCTGAACCGATTTCACCCAATTTGATGTTACTGCTTCTAAGCTGAATTCGGTCGGATATGCCAGAATTCAGTTAATTTGGAGATATATTAGTCATTTGGTGCACACTTAACCCGAAATAGGTTGAAGATATATGGGAGCTATATCCAAATCTGATCCGATTATCTACTAATATTGTTTGGAAAATTGCATCTTAATCAGATAATAAATTTTGTTCACAAGAATACATGGACAGACAAACGGACTGACATGCATAAATCGACTCAGAAAGTGATTCTATTAAGATCCTCAAAAGAAAAAAAGGGTCTTTCTCGGTTCCTTCTCCATACCTCTATGTGGTGTAGGGTAGGTATAAGTAGATCCAGGCTGTGGGGGTGTTTAACGAGACCACTCTCCGTCTCCTCCAGATTGCGATGAGCAAAAGAAGTTTTGGGCTAAACCGAAAAGGTATAAAAACAATTATGGAAGCCATCTTCTCCTTCGGAGCAATTGAACTTACCAACGGATCTACGAGAGACATTTCCTCGATTTTATTCAAATCAAATTAATTGCGTTGGGCCTCAATGGCCAATGAGTTCCCACTCTTGGGAAAGTAATGAGTCCCTACACCACATATTGGCATACAATTCTATGCCGATTTAGCAATGTTCGTCCGTGGAAATCACTCTAGCTTCCGAACGAAATGAAATGAAATGAAGTATGTTGATAAAAATTTACTCAAATGTGTATTATGTCTGCAGGACTTTTGGTATTGAAAATGGGCCATGTAGGTGCACGTCTTCGTATAGCCCCCATATAACGGTACCTTCCGATATGCGGTTTTTTGATGATTTTAGCGACATTATTTACCGGAATTGTTTCAAATTTGGTATTTGAAGTTCGTAAGGGATACTACAGAGTATGACGCCTGCGGGTCGACGCCTTCGTAAGCCTCCATATAGCGGTACCTCCCAAAATTAGGTATTTGAGGTTCGTAATGGATACTAAAGCCTATGACAGAAAACTCTCTGTGCAGGTTCACATCTTCGTATAGCTCCCATATAATGGTACCTCCCGATATTCTTCAAGTTTCGTTAATATAACAGCTACATTCGGTATTTTTAAGATTTCAAAAGAATTTTTAATGGATTTTTTTTTTTTTTGAAAATGGCAAAATTCGTTCCAAATGGTGGAGGGTATTAAAAGTTCGGTCCAGCCGAACTTACAGCTTTTTTATTTGTTAGTACACAAAATGCACAATTTGTTCAGTTTGACAACATTTTTTAATCATTACTTCCTACATCAATATCCAATGCGAGGATTCCAGCCTTATTCCTTCACCCAATGCCCAATTTAGTACCATTTAGTACTTTTCGTACAAATATAGGAGGCATTTCCAAACCACGGCCAATCTCAAACACAGATATAATCAGTAATCTAAATATCAAATTTCAGAATTTTATCTCTATCCCTTCACCCAATACCAAATATAGTACCATTTAGTACTTTTCGTACAATTATAGTATATATTTCCGAAACCAGCTCCAGATTTTCAGGCTACACATGAACAGCGACTCTAATACCAAATTACGGATTTCAAGCAGTATCTTTTCACTCAACATTAAATAGTACTAAATATAGTACTATTTCGTACTTTTTGTGCATTTGTAGTACAAATTTGCAAAACCATGTATTTATCCAAAGCTATCACTAACAGTGACCCCTATACAAAATTTCAAAATTCCAGCTTCATCTGTTCTACCCTAAACCAAACTGTTACAAATTTTAGTACCATTTAGAACAGTTTTCACACATTTAGTACATATTTCAAAAACCACCTTTATGTATCAAACAACCTTGAATCTCATACCAAATTTAAAGTTTTTAACTCTAACCGTTCAAATAGTTCGAAATGGTACCCTTTTAGAAATGTAGTACCATTTTAGTACTTTTCGTAACATTCAACTTCGAATTTCAGCAAAGACTTTCTTACATCTATCCGGCACTCCATAAGTGACTCTTATTCCAAGAATTTCAAAATTCTAGCTCATTTCATTTGTCCAATACAAAATATTTAATTTTTAGTACATTTTAGTACTTTTTGTAACCTTTAGTGAGAATTTCCAAAAACCCGGACTTATCACACGCCTACCTACCACGACTGACTGATACAAAATGTCAAGATTTTAGCTTAAGTCGTTTCGTCTGGATCTTGATTCTCAGTGGGTCACTTGTACCTCTGGTGTGCCTCTGGTGGCCACAGGGCGGAGGACATACAAATTATGACTTTTTCGAAATAATATTTGCAGATTCATCACTCAACCACATATTCGTTAACCCCTTTACATCTCCTTCTTTCGAAAAAACAGCAGCGATTCAGATCCTACAGATTGTCCCACCGACTTGGATACGGGCCAAGATGCGGGCGATGAATGCGATACAGATGATCTATTGGATATCGATTTTATTGACACGGCATCGGTGCAGGAGATTTTCGATCGACGGGATCAAATTAATATGGGGGCCTGCTACTATGGCAGCCCCGTTATGGCACAACGCCATCAGAGGGCACCATCGACTCGATCGCGGCGCAGCAATCGAAGCATTAAAGTATCCGGTGAACAAAATCTAATGAATGCGGCAGCTGGCAGTGCCCAGCGTAGACGTAAACGTTTTCACAAGACACGCAAGAAGAGCTCCGAGGGTAAGGACAATTGTCGATCGCCCATGCGCAAGCCAAGGGAGACGAGAAGTGTTGGCGGCACCCCGGTTTGTTTGCGTAAAAACGCCAGGAGCAATGATGCACACAGGTGAGTTCTGGACAGATTCATAGATAATTCATTCCTCTAATTTATGTCTGTATTGATCCAGATACAGTCAAACGACTCCCCACCAATTGTCCCACCGTTCCAGTTCCTTGGTGTTTACGGATGTACGAGAAAGTCGTTTCATGACCATAGCCGAGAGTGAAAAGGCCCTACTGAGGGCAGACTTTGAGGCAGATGTGAAATACAAGCAACTGATAATGGAGGCCGAGTCGATTTTGCAGTCCATGCGGAACAGTGTTCAGAGGTGGGTTATGCAATCGCATATTGAAATCGTTTTCTAAATGTGGAGTTAATTTTTTTCAGCATACCCCGTGAAACACCCCAACCAAGTCCACGTCGCATCAATCCCCTGGCCAATAAGCGCGTGGAAATGATCAAAAATTGTGAAATTGATCTGCAAAAACAACAACAGCAGGCTCAACAGGCGAAAAATAAAACTTGCGATTTAACCGAACAGGAGCTAACAGCCGCTGTCAACAAACGCATTGAAATGCTTAAACTGGAAACGCAATCACCACCGGGCAGTCCAAAATTGGGTGCCTGTAGTCCACGCAAAACTCATCTGACAAATTTCATCAATCAAAATATTGCTCCCGAGACGGGAATGCGGAAGCAGCTAAATTCTCCGTTGGTACAGCGAAGAAATTTAAGTCCAAGTGCATCACCGCTGCAACAGCGACGTTTGACCGCCCCCGCAGGAATTGTAGCCAAGGCACAACCAATCACGGCTCATTCCCATCAATTGTCATCTCAGTGGAGTGATTCGGATCAGGATTATAGTGCCATGAAAATCAACGATCATTTGAATCAGAATTATTTGCAAGCCACTGTCTACCAGGAGGCGGCAAATGAATATAACGATGCTCGAAATCACAACAACATTATACAGCAAGCCACAAATATGGGTCCAAAGATAACGCTGAACTATTGTCCCCAAAGTGAACCGCTTAAGAGGAAGGTCTACAAGAGCCACTCAACGTTTGATAACAATAAACTGAGGCACAATGCGGCGCAGAGGGAAGGTGAGTTTTTATGAGGGGTTTCAAATAAATCTAACACAGTTTGAAGAGGAGCTTTCAAAGGAAAATATTGTCAATTGTTTACATTCCAAATTCCTTTTCTGAGAAAAATATGTTCTCCTTCGATTCTTTATCAGATACCTGAATAGTTCTAGAAGTGAATATTTTCATTATTTAGGATATTTGATGTTATTCAAATGTTAGTCAATAATAATCAGGTTATCATGGCGTATACGCACTACAATTGACATGATCTAATGTTAATCATACGACACCTGGCCCACAATAAATCAATTCTATCGCCTCAAACAGGGCTGCATAGTTCAGCAACTATAAACCAGACTCATACTATTACGGAGCCATTCTGGAACGACTCTGTTTCGACTCCCATACCAAAATCCTATTCATTCTATGGGATGAATTTCCTATACCTCTTTGCATGGCATTAAAATCCCAAAACTTTGGGCAACCGATTGTGGCTTTACCCGATTTGTGGTGGAGTGCAGGATAAATGTACTAAAGGGTTTTTGGAAATTCGCACTTTAGGATTACCGAAAATTCCAAAATGGAATATAAGTGTTCGAAAAATACTAAATGGTTTAATTAGGCAAAATCGGTTGGAAAAAGCGGCTGATACTTTTAACATATACTTTTATACCCTTAGCCATATGGCTAGATAGGGTATATATCGTTTGATATGGTCAAAACGTGCCTCATCAAAAAACCCTAGGTCTCTTTGGACCAAATCCGTTTCAGGATATTTGGAGTCGACCTAGCGAGGTCCGTCTGTCTGTCTGTCTGGCTGGCTGGAGTAGACGATAACTCTCGAATTGAGTATCCGCTTTGATCCAAACTTGGTACATCGTAATATTATTGTCAAACTTAGAGCGAGTCTGGAGAGGGGCAATATAGGTCCACTGCTTCTGGTACCACCCCCACAAAATTTCATCATTTTTAGAGAAAATAATTTACTGCACAAAAAGAGAAAGGATAATCCGATTTTGCTCCATCTTTGCAAATTTGAATCAGTGCTGGGTCAGGTGCGAAAATGGACAATATCGATCCTCTCCATCAAGCACCTCCCCCACAAAGGGTCAACATTTTGTATGAATATGACTTTTATAAAGTGTGATGTATGTGTCCGATTGTCTTCAAATTACACACATCACAATATTTTTATTAAACCAAGGTCTGGCGTGAAGATGAAATATATCGGCCCACTCCTTCTGGCACTTCCCCCACAAAGGGTCAAAACTTGGAATATTCATGAAGCTCATAAAACACGAAATTAATATCAGATTCCGTTTAGACTTGGCACATCTCAATATTTCTATCAACACAATATCTGTTATAAAGATGGTAGAAATCGGACCATTCCTTCTGGTATCTCCCAGGGTCAACATTTTGAATATGAAAAATGATCATAAAATCCGAAATAAGCATCCGGTGCTCTTCAAATTACACACATCACAATATTTTTATTAACCCGAGATCTGTTATAAATATGGTAAAGATCGGACCACTCCTTCTGGTACCTCCCCCACAAAGGGTCAACATTTGGAATATCCATAAAGCTCATAGAACACAAAATTATCTTCCGATTCCATTCAGCCTTGGTACATCCTAATATTTCCATGAACGCAAGATCTGTTATAAATAAGGTAGAGATCGGAACATTCCGTCTGGTACCTCCCCCATAAAGGGTAAACGTTTTGAATAACCAAAACGATCATTAAATCCGAAATAAGCATCCGGTTCTCTTCAAATTACACACCATCACAATATTTTTATTGACCCTTGATCTGTTATAAATATGGCAAAGATCGGATCATTCCTTCTGGTACCTCCCGCACAAGGGGTCGAAATTTTGAATATCAATGAAGCTCATAAATCTCGAAATTAACATACGATTCCACTCAGACTTGGTACATCTGAATATTTTCATAAACACAAGATCTGTTATAACGATGGTAGAGATCGGACCATTTTTTCCGGTACCTCCCCCACATAGGGAGAGGAATAATCATCCAACTCTCTTCAAATTTCACACATACAAACATTTTTGCTAACACAAGATCTGTTGTGAAGATGATATATATCTGCGAACCCTTTCTGGTAACTCACTTACAACAAGGGTCACAATTTTCAATACTTATATCTGTCATAACTTCCGAAACAAGCCGGCGATTCTATACAACTTTCAATTTCTGAATACTTTCCTTAGCCCAAAATCTGATATGAATATGTATTTTATCGAATGTGTATTTTAATGAATGTTCGATTTTCTTTAAATTTTCCACATAGCAATATTTTTTCGTCATTAGATGTAGTATGGTCCGCCATGTCTGTTACCTCACGCATATTTCCACATATTCTAAAAAATTGAACATATCTCATATAACGTATAGGAAGTAGTCGATATAGGCGAAATCTGGCACGTTGTAATATTTATATCAGTCTTAGCTATGATTCTTCTTCTTAGCTTCGGAAGGGGTTAACAATTTGAATAATCATAATTTAAAGTTGGGGTTATACATCTGTCGGCAAAACCGACTGTTACTATTTTAGTTGTTAAACAAAATAATGGCTTAATGACTGCCTTGTCTCCGTATTTTTACATTTTAAGTACTACGAAATGTTTAGCAACGTTTTCAACACATTTGCTATATAAAAAGTTCAGAAGGGATGAATTTAGGGCCTCTTTCTGTGTGTCAATACGAAAGTAAATCCCAATAAATACTCTATTCCAAATGGGGATTTCTAATTTTTCAATTAATTAAAAAAAAAAAAAATAATAAAACTATATAAATTTGAAATGACGCATTCACTTTCGTAGCGACTCATAAAAGCAGGTCCTAAATAAAATTTTCATTTGTTATTTACCGTAAATAACTCCAATTTATTTATTTATTAACTTTACATTAACCATTTATTAATTTCACAATTTAACAAAACATTCTACTTTTCTACATTTCCACACAGAGCAATTAAAACACCAGCGCCTAAAAGCATACAACACAGGCAGTGGTGATTTTGCACTGCAGCAACATGGGAACACGAAATTAAGCAGCCATGATTTACAACATTTCTCCTCACACTCAGGCAATGGATTAAAGACTGATTTTCATTCCACGACAAATGTGGCTCACACCAGTGCCAACAACCCGACCGCGGGAAGCACAGACAAAGCGGCCTTAATTCAACGCACCCTTGCCGATTTGAAACGAAATTTGGAACATCAAAGTCTGGAATTGAATGGTTTAAATGAAGTGTAAAAAGTGTCTGCATGTGTCTTCTCATCTTATCGATATTATTTTCCCTTTCTCTCTCTCTCTCTCTCTCTCTCTAACAGTTATTAAATCTCTTACTCAATAACCACAAAACATAATGAATTTAAAACAAAAACAACACTAACACAAACCACCATTAAGAAAATGGTTGTTGAAACTGTAGTATGGAAAAATACCCTAATGGCATTTACACCCGAGTAATTGACGTAGCTGTAGATATTCGACGTCATAATTTATTAGAATTTATTCTTACGCCAACAGGTTTAGTAGTCTAATAATTGCAGTTTTCTTTATATTGTAGTGACTATATAGGCTGGTCATAATAGTTTCCGAGTATTAATTGAAGTATTTGTAGTCACCACCATTTTTTTTTTTGAATTTAGTTTTTTGTTAATTAACTTTGTAGTATTTTGTAATGATTTATTCAGTAATACCCAGCTATATACTCTACTCATATGCTCAAGTATTTCTAGTATTATCTTATATATTGAGAATTAATTTATATATTGAACCCTTTAAGAAATGAAAACGAATATTCCCTCCATACTCCTATTTAAAAAACTCCTTTCAAATAATTATTTTGATTTATTTATTGGTACCCAATATAAACCAGTAAAGAAAGTCTTAAAGTCGGGTGGGACCGACTTTATGATGCCCTACACCACTTTGCATATTTAGTAGAACTTCACATAACAAATAAAAGTTTTAATGGGGAATTTGTGGGAATCAAATCATACCAATTATGATTATAGTAATAATTAAAAGTCCAAAGGAACTAATACAAGGGAAGAATATCCTCCTCTTAATCGATTTATACTAAATTTGTCAAGGCATTTGCGTCTTTCCAATTCGGGCTTGTATTATCCATTTGGTGCACAATTTACTTGAAATCGGATAGATATATATGAGAGCTATATATAAATCTGAACCGATCTCGATAAAATTTGGCAAAGGTATTTCTGAGCTGTATTTGATATATTTCCCCAAATATCGTTACTACGGAGTCCATATTACAGCTTTGCAGGGCAAATTCAACAAATCGGATGAACAGTATGTATGGGAGCTATAGCTAAATCTAGTTTCTAGACTCAATTTGGTCGTAAGTACCAAATTCCATTGCATTTGGGCTAATATTATACGTTTGGTGCACAGTAAAGGCAAATCGGACGAAGATATATATGGGAGATATACCCAAATCCGAACCGATCTCGATAAAATTTGGCAAAGATATTTCTGAGCTATATTTCATATATTTCCCTGAATATCGTTGTTACAGAGTGCATATTACGGCTGCAGGTAACAAATATAACAAATCGGATGAACAATATATATATGGGAGCTATAGCTATGTCTGAACCGATCTTCACCAAATTTAAAATACTAGCTTCTAGACTCAAATTGTGCCAAATTTCATCCCATTTGGTCAAATATTTTGGTGCATAGTAAAAGGCAAATCGGACGATGTTATATATGGGAGATATATCCAAATCCGAACCGATCTCGATAAAATTTAGCAAATGTATTTCTGAGCTGTATTTGATATATTTCCCCAAATATTGTTGTTACAGTGTGCATATTACGACTGCGGTGGACTAAAATAACAAATCGGATGAACAATATGTAATGGAGCTATTGCTATATCTGAACCGATTTCGATCAAATTTGACATACTTATTTTCAGCCCTAATTTGGTTGTATGTGCAAAATTCCATACTATTCGGGCAGATATTACATGTTTGGTACACAATATAATGCAAATTGGACGAAAATATATATGGGAGCTATACCTAAATTTTGACCGATTATCTCCAATTCCAATAGGGTTCGTCCTTGGGTCAAATAAATTATTTGTGCAAAATTTCATCTGAATCGGCCAATAAATGCGACCTGTACTTTGTTCACAAAAATACATGGACAGACGGACGGACGAACGGACATGCATAAATCGATTTAAAATGTGATTCTATGCTGATCACCAAAAGGAACTATGGGTCTATCTCGTTTCCTTCTCCATGTTAAAAACAAATGCACAAATACATAATACCCTGACCACCTTGTGGTGTAGGGTATAAAAGCTTTTCAATCGACAAAATTTACAGAATATGCCTGCAGGGTAATATGGACCTTTCCATTTCCATTCCCTCAGCCTTACGCCCATATACTTTTACCGTACAACAAAGTGTAATAACACAATATTTTTACAATGAACCTATAAAACAAGACTTCAAGTCGAGAATGCTGAAGGTTAAGGTGGTATTGAAACTTTGAAGTTCACTTTAATTTTGTGAATTTTGACTTATTTTATTACGGGATCAATATCTTTCCGAACATTGTACTTTTGAATTTGTTTTATTTGTAATATATATTTATTTAAATTTGAATACATAATTATTTTAATTGTTTTGTTTCCCGTCCTAACGAGTTCTCTCGTGGATTTGTGTTTGGGTTTTAAACGAAAAAATCCAGCATCTCTTTCGAAAATCCAAACATTTTGTATTACGCCAATTGTGATTACGCAAGATATATTTATATATATATTTTTTAAATTAAAATATTATAAAATTACGTCAGTTAATTTTGAAATGTATTTCAGTAATTTTCCAAAAATTGTTTTTGTGGTTTTCCACGAATATAAATTTTATTTCGGTAATTTTGTTTTGAATTATAATTAAAACAATGGGAATGCTTCAACAAATATAAGTCAAAATATGTGGAAAACCTTCGATAAACCTTTAAATTCATATTTTGAAATTGAAAAGAACAAAGAAGAATTATCTTATTATACCCTAAACCACAAGGGGGTCAGGGTATTATATCTTTGTGCATTTGTTTGTAACAGGCAAAAGGAAACGAGACAGACTCATAGTTCCTTTAGATGATCAGCACAGAATCACATTCTAAGTCGATTTATGCATGTCCGTCCGCCTGTACGTCTGTCCAAGTATTTTTGTAAACAAAGTACAGGTCACATTTATAGCCCGATCCATATGAAATTTTGCGCAAGTCATTTGTTTGACCCAAGGACGAACCCTATTGGAGATAATCGGTCAAAGGGTAGTTATAGCTCCCAAATAAATCTTCGTCCTATTTTTCTTTTATTGTGCACCAAACGTGTAACATTGGCCCAAACTGGATGGATTTTGGCAATTAAGACCAAATTAAGTCTGCAAATAATTATGCCAAATTTGATCGAAATTGGTTCAGATATAGCTATAGCCCCAAATATATATTCTTCATCCGATTTGATATTTTTGTCCTCCGCAGCCGTAATATGCACCCTGTAACAACGTTATTTGGGGAAATATATCAATTACAGCTCAGAAATATCTTTGCCAAATTTTATCGGGTTCCGTTTAGATTTGGATATAGCTCCTATATATATCTTTGTCCGATTTGCCTTTTATTGTGCACCAAACCTACAGTCCAAATCCGATGGAATTTGGCACTTACGACCAAATTGAGCCTAGAAACAAGTATGTCAAGTTTGATTTCAAAATCGGTTCAGATATAGCTATGGCTCCTATATATATTGTTCATCCGATTTGTTATATTTTTATACCCTCAGTCATATGCCTAGAGAGGTTATATATCATTTGATACAGCCAAAACGTGCCTAATCGAAGAAACGGTTTTTGACGGTTTTTTTTTTTGAATTTGTAGTCAATCTAGCGATATCCGTCCGTCTGTCTATCTGTCTGGCTGGTGCGCATGATAATTTTCGAAGGCAGTATCCTTTTTGGTTTAAGCTTGGTACATCTTAATATTATTATCAAAGTTAGATCGAGTTCGGAGATGTGCAGTATCGGTTCATTCCTTTCCCCCACAAAAGGTGAAATTTCCAAAAAATATATTTTCTGCACAGAAAGAAAAATGATAAAGCGATTTTGCTCCAACTTTGCGAATCCTAATATTTGCATCAGTGCTAGGCCTGGTGCCTGGAATTATGCCTCTTATAAAATGTGATAAAAGAGTCCGACTATGTTCAAATTACACGCATCACAATATTTTTATAAACCCAAGGTGTGGTGTGATCATGGAATATGTAGGTCCACCCCTTCTGGTACCTCCCCACAAAGAGTAAAAAAATTGGAATCACAAAAGCTATTATAAAATCCGAAATAAGCATCCAGTTCTCTTCATATTTCACACATCCCATTATTTCTACTCACACAAGATCTGTCGTATAGATGGGATATATCGAACTTCCAGGTACCTTCCCTACAAAGGGTTGGAATAGCCATGAAGCTCGTAAAACGAAAAATAAGCATTTAATTATCTTCAAATTTCACATATACCATTACTTCTTCTAACAAAAGGTCTGCTGTGAAGATGGAAAATATCGGTTCACTCCTTCTCGTACCTCTCCCACAAATGGTCAAAATTTTAAGTATCCACGAAGCTCATAAAACGAGAAATTACTATTCGATTCCATTCAAACTCGGCACTTCTCAATATTTCCATCAATAAAAGATCTCTTATAAAGATGGTAGAGATCGGACCATTCCTTCTGGTACCTACCCCACAAAAGTTCAAAATTTGGAATAATAAAAAACGATCATAAAATCGGAAATAAGCATCCGGTTCTCTTCAAATTACACACATCACAACATTTTTATTAAACCAAGGTCTGGTGTGAATATGGGATATATTTTTCCACTCCATTAGAAACCTGAAATGAATATCAAATTTATCGGAATTTATGATTTCGCATAAGCTAGGATAAAAATGTTAGATTGTCTTGAAATTTTGCCCATACCAATGAAAACGGAATACTTCGGTCCGTTATATCTGTTACCCCACGAATTTTTCCACATTTTCCAAAAGTTTGCACATATCTCATATAAAGTTTAGGAACTCGTCGATATAGTCCAAACCTGGCCAACTGCTTCGGAGCCTCCCCCATAAAGGGTCAACAGTTTGAATAATCATAAATCGAGGCGGGGGGTATACATCTGTTGACAAAACCGACTGATTCTGTTTTACTTGTTTATTTTTTATTTGTTATATGTAGATCTACTAAATATGCAAAGGGGTGTAGGGTGTCATAAACTCGGCCCGCCGAGATTTAGACTTTGTTTTCTTTTGTTTTGGTTCAAAAAATATTTTTAAAAAAATTGTGCTCAAGTATTGGACCAAATATGAAAGTGGATTTATATTGGATTCACTGTGGACTCATTTCACTTTTTAAATAGAATTCTGGAGATTGCTGCAATCATGGTTAATTTGTACAGTCTTAATATTCAAACAATAACACACACATACATACATAAAAGAAATGAAATAATTAACAAAAAAAGACTAGTTTGAGGCTTCTGAATTTCTTGCCATTAAATAAGCCACGTCAATAATAAATGATCGTTTTTTTTTTCGATATCGTTTAACTTATCTTTAATTTTAAAATACAATATTTTTTTCCTCCT